CGTATTTCTGATCACATGTTTCTTGTCATTGCAGATATTGATGAGTGTATGCTTGGAGTGCACAACTGTCATCCATTTGCCACCTGCACCAACGTAGCTCCAGGCTTTCAGTGCGAATGTGATTCCTTTGCAGTCGGCAATGGTGTCCAGTGTGAAGGTAGGCGGAATCGAAAACTTGTGGTTCTCCTAGAGATACTTTTCTGCATGTCCAACACCAGACCATTTGATAGTTTTCATGCTTTCACCTTATCCTATTCATTTATGCTTTCGCGGCGTGTGTGTGTGTGTGTTTGTGTTTGTGTGTGTTTGTGTGTGTGTGTGTGTGTGTGTGTGTGTGTGTGTTTGTGTGTGTGTGTGCCTGCCTACTCGACGGCATTTGTATGTGGTATTTGTTCTCACCACGGTTTTGTATGGCTCGGAGTGTTGGACCCCATTGAAGTCGGACTTGGACAAGCTGGACAGGTTCCATCACGCCAACCTACGGTCAATCCTTGGCATTTCGCGCGGCCGCCAGTGGGAGCAGCACATTACATCGGAGCAACTACGCACACAGTGGGGTGACCCTACTCCACTGTCGTGCATGGTACAGCGAAGACGCTTGGAGTGGCTTGGGCACCTAGCTCGGCTTGATAACAATCGGTTACCCAAGCAGTTGCTCTTCGCTCATCTTCCACGAACCCGCCCGTTTTGCGGCCCCCGACATCGCTGGAAGGACGTTGTCCAGGCTGATCTGACTGTGGCCGGTGTGCACAATTGGTTCCAATCAGCCAACGATCGCGGAGAGTGGCGTGACATAGTGTCGGCAGCAGCGGGGGTGAAGGAGCCTGCCCCGAAGACGATTGTGTGCCACGCTTGCGGCCGCCTGTTTCGTCGGCGCGCCGACATGGCCCGGCACAAGTGCACAGCAGTCCGACAGCTCCCCGTATCACAGCAGCCTGGGTCGGTGCAGTGTCCTGCCTGCAGTAGATGGCTCCGGAGCAGGGGTGGGCTTGCAGTGCATAAGTGCCTAGGGAGTGACAACTGTGACGACCGACCGCCTTTTGATGCTCCTCCTGTTGCCGAGGTCCCGGTGTGTACTGCCTGCCAGCGTACTTTCAAGTCTACTGCTGGCCTCAAGCGCCATCGCTGTGGACCCCGCCCGAAGCGCCCTACAGTGACTGATCGCCAGCACTTTGAACATCATTGCCGAGTCTGTAGTCAACGCCAGTTTCGGAGGCGACAGGACCTGGAGCGCCATTTGAAGCACTGCCTACCTCTCCCCTAACCTCTCTGACAGTACCTCCCTTTGGGGAGCGGCGTGGCCATTTCTGGCAGCTGTCAATAGTAGTAGCAGTAGTGTGTGTGTGTGTGTGTGTGTGTGTGTTTGTGAATGTGTGTGTGTGCATGTGTGTGCATGTGTGTGTATGTGTGTGTACATGTGTGTGCACTGATGCATGTGTGGTGTGCGTGTGTATGTGCATGTGCATGTGTGCATATGGAAGTAGAAGCATCAGTTGTGGGTCTTTCACATTTTTTGTCTTGTGCAGAATCTAAAGTGGTTTATGGTTGAGAGCAGCTGCTTAGATTCAGTCACAAAGTATTGCGAAAGTACCAAACTTCAAAAAAGGCTATAGTTATTCTAATCTTAACCGCGATGTTGCTGCTCTCTTTCAGCTCTGTGCCCAGCGGATTGTTCATGTCTGGACGGTATGGAAACGGTGTTCTGCGGCAATCTTGCCGTGTTCCCTAGAGGATTTCCTTTTGAGACTCGGACAATGTAGGTATTCTAGACGTTATTGTTCAATTAGAGTGAGCAAAACGATATTTTGCTCTCACCGGAGCACTGTACGAAGTCAGTATGAACTTCAGTTTATTGCATGTTATATGTGCTAGTAGTAGTTTTCTTTTTCAAGGTCCGCATCAGACCTAGTCTGACTAAGTTTTTAGCACTCGTAGCAATGCAACCATCGTCAAGGATCAAGGCACGAGGGAAACAGGGATGCAGAAATTTGGATTTTGGTATTTTGACCAATTGGTAGTGTGTCTGATCTACTCACCTCCCGCTTTAGGAGGTGCATCTGTGCCGTGTACTTGGCCTTTTATCAAGCATTCTTTTTATTTACCTTTGCTTTGAATATTCTCTCAGAAAGTGTAGAGAACTGCTGCATAAGGTGTCCTTGAAGTGTAGTCTCCCTGTGTGTTCTTATCCACTCTCTACAGTGGTATTGACTTGTCAGGGAGTACGTTCACCATGCTGCCGGATGATTCGTTCTTCAACCTTACCGTGCTTGAGGATATGTAAGATAATTACAACACTCAATTCTCTCTCTCTCTCTCTCTCTCTCTCTCTCTCTCTCTCTCTCTCTCTCTCTCTCTCTCTCTCTCTCTCTCTCTCTCTCTCTCTTGTGTTGAAGCAATCTGACTCTCGAGCTGGAAATCGACATAAGCACTGTACTCATATAGGTTTTGTTGTTGCTGTGGCAATGCCAGGAACTCTACACGTGATGGTGTCAGTGGCTAGGCTAAACTGACTGCATTAACCAGTGCAATGGCCGAAACAGGAAATTGTAGGAAAACTAGCTCGTATGTTATACGTGCAAGTCATCAGATAAAGACACAAGTCCTGGCCAAACACAAACTGATTTCTGTGTTCCATACTACTCTGTTCATCCATACTACTCTGTTCATCCATGCAACACTGTTCATCCATGCTACACTGGATACTGTAAGACTGCCTATTTCAGTGTGCACTAACAATAGTGTTCTTAGTAAAGTGTAGACTGTGGTGTGCTAGAAGATAGCAAGGAGGTTGTCATCTATATTTGGTATATGCAGTGACGCTCTATGCGAATATCATTGCAGCTTGGGTATGTGATGATACTCTAGCTATCAATGGGCCTCTGAGAAGCCAATGACTGACTGACCGTTTCCTTGTGTCCATGTACTTAGTGCCATCTCTACATCACCAACTCTAACCACGTTCCAGAGCAACTTCTTGTCTAACCTCCCCTTCCTGCTGCGAGTGTAAGTGAATCCACCACAGCACACTTTCGTGAATCTTTCCAATTCAAGACTCGGATAGGCTTGGCATGGACTCGGACAATATTTCGTATCTATTTCCTGATGATATGGAATATGTGTAGGCAAAGAGGTAACATATTGTGTATGGGCTTGGACGTTTTGTGTGCTTTGATGCATTGATTAACACCGAGGTCAGGCCTTGAGCCGAAAACAAACGTTGTATGCTGTGTCTGTGTCTACTTCTCTGCCTCACAGGGAGATTGTGTCGATGCCGAACCTGACTTCAATAGCAGAGGATGTATTTGGCAACAGTGTGACGATAGAAGTCCTGTAAGTGACGTCCTCCTTACCAACAGGTGTTAGGCGAATTTTCTGTTACGCCCTCCGGAAGAGAGTGGATCGTTTCTGATGCAATATTAAATCAATCCAGGAAGTTGTTTGTATGTTAGTGTGGAAAACTGGCTGCTGTGCACTGTATGTTATACATTCTTTTGAAAGCGGTGCACGCAATTGAATGTCAGTACAAGTTCTACCTGATTACATTGGGAATCGGTTATGTCAGTTCACCTTCTAACACCAGCTTGTGCTATTATCCCTTATTTCGTTCTGCAGGCGACTCCGACAAATGGCCAGTCTGACATCCCTACCGTTTGGTATTTTCACCAATCTAACATCCCTGGTGGAGCTGTGAGTGGCCACACACTTTAGAACGGGAAAGCATCACCCCAGAGTGCTGATTTGTATAACTTGTCGTATCGATTGCCTGATATTTTCAGGTTACGCTACGTCAGCACTTGTGGTGGATATTTTCTGGGAGTGTTTCTCTTCCCTTCTTCAATTTATAGAACTGTTGTTATTATTGCTACCAACCTTTTGTGAAGAAGAGGTTGGTGCGACTTCGGCGATAGTAGGGGAAGAGTGTGTTGCTCCCTACATGTTTGGTGATTAATGCAATAAAAAGAGTGAGTTGCGCACTCAGTACAAACACCATTAGCAAAAGAACTATTTGTCATGTATAACTTCTTTAGTGTTTGCTAATGGCAATTGTACTGAGTGCACAACTCACTCTTTTCATTGTGTTAAAATAACATTCTGATCTCCACGGAATTTTTTTATCCTTTTGTGAGCTCAACTTGCTAGTAACATGCTGTGTTGGTTTCAGGGTTCTGGAAGGTATGCCGCTTACATCTCTACCAAGCTTGTTCGGCAGTTTTGACATAACAAATCTGTGAGTATGAGCGTTGGCACTTGCATGTGAAATGGGAAGGCCTTTTGCAAGAGCTTGAGTGCCTTTCCACACAAAAGATTTCCATTTTTACTAAAATGACTAAAACTCATGTATTCCACAACGAGTGTGGAATAGGTAGCAGAATAGGGATGTGGGTTAAAACGAGTACTGGTCGTTGGGGTACTGGTATCATGCCCATAAGTCCAGTGGGAAAGTTCAATAGACATAGACACTCATGAAGTATGGCTCTATGAAAAGGACTTCGGATTACCTACTAAAAAGACGTTGATGTCTGTTGGGGGTCCACAATTGAAACTATAAAATCTGCTCGCACAAATATGTCCTGTGTTCCTGCTGCGGTTTGTGCATTCACTGCTTGTTGTCGTCCTCATCGATCTGTCTCACCGTGTGTCTTTCTATTGCCTGTATGTGCGTAGGGTATTGGATTCATTGAGGCTCACCACTATTCAGGCATTCGGTAGTAACCTTCAAAGTCTTGAAACTCTGTAAGTCACGCACTTCTGTTTACAGTTCTTCATACAAACAAATTTATTCACTATCAATCAATGCTTTCTGCACTAATAGCTCCCTTACCCTAGTGACCATCAACACGACCATCATGGCAATAGTTCTGTGTTTAAACTCAATACCAACTGGCTATCATGAAACTATGCTATGCAATTGTAATTGGGGAAGTCCCACTGAATACGTCAGAAGTCGTCTGATGATTGTATTGTGCAAGAAACCTCTGAGTTGCTACGAACTCTGTAAACCTCCTTTTGTGCCTCTTGTGTGTTATAGTGCTCCATGTTATTGTGTTGGCAGAAGGACGTTTTCCTCCTTGTAAAAATAACCATGTGTGTTGCCTGTTGTGATGACATTCAATTTCACCTCAGTGATGAAAAGAGCAGCAGCTGAGCGCCCTTCCTGAGGCAAATTACCAATTTACTTTTGCAAATGTATACCCATTTACAGAGAATGTCTCTTCGATAATCTAAGATGAATCCCAAAGCTCAGTACTCATCCGTGTGCTTGAAGCAGTAACCTTTATCTGATTGTGTTGCCACGTGCATATGCTTATCTGAATCTGGCCCGGTACAGGACGATATCCAACATGGACACATTCACCAGTATACCATCCGGAGCAATATCAGTGTTGTTCAGCCTCAGGAACATGTAAGGAATGAATACTCACCCATGCCAATCCAAGAACGAATGTCCTCGCTATGGTGTTGTGGATGTTTATCCATGCCAATGTTTCTCTTGGCATCAGGGTTTACAGGCACAATGCTCACATGGCGACAGGTGGTGGATGGTTTCAAAATCAAACTGTGTATTCCTAGTTGTTATGGCTTGAAACTGATGATCTCACAAGTTCAGAAATATTGCCGTTGGGGTATTATGGACCATAGTATAGTAGCGCATGTGGTGGGCAGGCCATCATGTCTCATGTTGCTGAGATACTGTTGTATACCAGCAGTGTCAGGGGACAGGAAAATCTAGTCCCGTCGGAAAGTGCAGATGTTTCACCATGATTTCAAGGCAATTACCTCGACCATGCATGAATTCGTACAAAACGTGGACCCGGATGGGTCCGAACGTCAGGGGTGTCATGTCATGATGCTAGCTTTCCTATGAGGGGGACACCACATTTAGTGTGTATTGTCTACCATCTGTTAGTTGTAAAGCTGGGTGATGGATTTTTTTACGAAATATGTTTGCAGTAATGGGGACGTTTTAAGCAACGCAAAAGTTTGAACTTTTGGTGGCGGTGATATTTTGCGCAAATATCATTCAGAAGAAGGAGGCTTGTGAGGTTAGCAAACTGATATGCCTTTTTCGTAAGAACAAAACAAAAACAGGACCCAAGTCGCTGTGAATTTTATAGTACCGTCCTCAGACACTCAGTCTCAAGGAGGGAGAAGTTAATATTTTACTACTCCCCAGTCTCAAGTGAGTACTGGGGAAAGAGAAAGTTACTTCCGTGAATCACTACAACTTCGTGTCCAAGTTTGGGAAGTTTCGAGCTTTGTTTCTGTACTTGTTCCCGGACACAAATTTTCTTTCGAACTTTCACGTTGCTCAACATCCCTAATGTTGGAAATGATATTTTGATGTTCGTGTGCATTTTTCTGGTAGAACCCTCCACTCTCTAGCACTGCAGACAATTCCTGGTTGTTTCTTTTCTGACACCTCAAATATACGACAGTAAGTCTCCATGCTTGGTTTACAATGGCTTTGTGCATGGCATCCATAACATGGGCAGAGTATGCAACACAGCCGCTGCATCCATGATGCCGAAACTGCTAGCTTACAGATTTGTTTTTAGGAAATGCTGAGGTGTGTCCTACATGAAACCACTTGAGTTGAATAATATTAAATTTTCATGTGTGTCTGTTTGTGATGATTTTGCATCCACTGGATATTTTACTATATGCGATAGATTTGCGAGAGCAGATTACCAAATGAAATAGTGCAATCCGGGAATGGAAAGATTATGCTTTTGTGAAAGAGATGTGTTCTAACCAAGGAGGATGAATGTGCATATTTTGTTCTGCAGCGTCAACTTCACGTCTCTTCGCAACCTGACATTCCTACCGTCTGGTCTCCTGGCTCAGCAAATGTCTTTGGAATCTCTGTAAGAACGAAGCTACATTTATCAATTAGCTAAGAGCTGATGCTTTCTGGTCCTGGACTCAACAGTCCTTGCTTACAAAATCAATTCATCCTACATGTATATTGTTAAAGGCCATGGGGCGGTAATCAGATACGATGAGAAGATGATACAAGTGATTCAGATCTCTTCTTTAACTGGCTGCTAACTCCTAGGAAAACCTCACTATCTTCTTGGTTGATGTTCTGAGTAATATGAGGCTCTTTTGCCTGAGACTCTGAAAAGTCTGATAACATAGCAGGTCTGAGAAAACCCCAAAAGTAAGGAAATCTCTCCGATTTCGCTCAAAATTTGTAATTAGGTTTGCTTTGGGGTCTACAACGACCATGCAAAAGGTTTCTGTGTACTCACAAAGGGCACCCAGCCCGCTTTCGCTGAAGAGAAGAGAAATATTGCTTGCCCTCTTGTAATCTTACAGGCAACATATCTTGCTCTAGAAGTGTTCATTCCTTTGCTCTTGCCTGCAGGAACTTGGACGGTAGTGATGGTCTTCACTCTCTGAGAGCTACAGTTCTCCCACCCAGCACTTTCATAAAGTAAGGCAATGCTCACAGCAGTATTAGCATTACCTGTATTTCTCTTTTAGAAACACATTTCTTCTATTTTTAACCCACCTCCAACCCATACTTTCATTGGAGGTATGCCTGTGAGGACCCTGCCACACAGGTTTTGCATTTCACATCATTGTTGAGGCTTTATGGCAGTAAGAAGTGATTCCGTGATATACTTGCAGTTGCTCAAGACCAAACAGACATACTCATGCAACTAAGGTATGGCTGTCTGATACAAACAGAAGAAAGTGAATTTGTTTACGAGAGGTTCGAGGCATTGCCACGTATTCCGTCTATGGTGTCAGTCCTACAAATGTGCCCCGAACACCTGATATTACATATTTGTCCATTGGCTGCATGAATCAGTATATTTTCTGCGTCTCTGGCTTCTCAATTTCGGGACTAGCCAGCCGATGGTAGTGTGCATTTGGGCACAGAAGCATGTTGCCAAGGAACCAGTCCAGAACCTATATTGTGAGTCCAAGGCATTAATTTGAGCTGTCCTGGCTGGCCCTTCCATATCCTTATCATCTACATTGCTGTTTAGGTAATAGATTTACAGCGTGTTGCGAGACACAACACACACACACACACACACACACACACACACACAAACAAACACACACGCACACATGCACACACGCACATACGCACACATGCACACACACGCACACACACACATGCATACACACGCACACACGCGCGCACACACACGCACACACTCAAAGCATTTTAGTTGTGAGACTGCTAAAAACTCATTGAAGAATGCAATTTCATGTTTGTACTGTGTTTGTCTTTATGGTGCAGCTCTCTGACCCTGCCTAGTCCGCTCTTGGCTGATCGTGGCTGTGCTCTGGCAGAAATCAGACTCCTACAGGTCCAGACGTTCTCTCCTGCCTTGACAACAGAACCTCTTGATTGTAAGTACGAGTGACTTGCAATGTTCTAGTCCATAGCCAGCAATCGCATGTCATCACGTACATTGAAAATCAACATAATTTTGCGAATCGACCTTTTTTTCAGGATCACTTTTCAACGAGGACGAAGCAAAGTCGGCCGAACGAAGCCTAGAGGAAGAAAATCACCCTCTCCACTTCACCATCACGATACTGACATAGATACGAGATGAAACAACTAAAAAATCCACAAGAAAACTGTACGGCCATCATCGCGCTGACTTTGGTCTGACTTTGGTCTGAGAATTTCTATCACGATCAAAAATGTACGAGGAGCACTAAAAAATAAGCCAGAGACGTACCTTTATCGCTCTCTACTCCTTTTTCAAGGCACAAAAGTCGACTCTCCACTTTCAAACCAGGAACCAGACATACCAGTGGTCCTTTTCAGCTGCTCCACGAGCGCAGGAAATGTTCACCAAGGGGCGCAGAGCAGCATCCATTCCAGAAAAAGAGCTAAAATACGAGCGAGACTGCATGCCTGAGTACATGAGTACATGTATGAGTACATGCAGAAAATAGTCAATTTCAGCGTTTCTGCTCCAAACAGCAACTAGCTTCGACTAGAAACAAAGATTACACCAAAGGATCAAACAACAACCATTTTCTGCAGTTTTTTTGCAGATGGCTTCCTTGTGCTCTGCCCAGCACGCCAAAAATCACACCTCGGAGGAGTACAAAAATTACAACTCTCAGATGTCCTCGATTGCTGGCCATGCTTTGATTAGTCCTTGGAGAAAATGAAGAGTTCAGATCCAAAACGCAACATATATCCGTTTCATCACTTTCCGGATATTGACCAAAAGGAATCCAATTTAGGTGGGGTTTATGTCAAAATACAAAAATGGGCACCAGTTTTGAAATAGTTCTTGTGTATTTTTAAAGGCCTGTTGATTACTGTACACCGAGCTCAAAATCTCAATTTCTAAAATTTGGCACTTGTCGTGTCTTGCATCTACACTCTTGACATGTGACCTACTGCTCAGGGTAGAATTTTCTTGAGCATCTTGTTTCAATTTCTGTTTGAACTAACACCATAGTCTATAAGAACAAGGGATTTGAGGTATCTTCCTTGCTAACAAAACACCTTCAGTATCTATTTAATGCGAGCCAGTTTCATAACAGCGCCAGCCATACGCCCCCAGTGCGCATTGCCAAATATGGAAGGTATGAGTAATGCGTCTGAGTACGCTGGGATGAGGAATGCACTGTTCAACACCCCAGACGACCATGACCAGGTGGCTCTGTGCAGTGTTTAACGTACAAATGTACAAATTACGTCATTACGCAATGGGCTTATTGAGAGGAAACTAAGCACACTGCGGCAGTTTGAAAGAGTGGGAAACTGGGCACTATAGTATAGGTCTTTTTGTGCTCGACGAAAATAATGGCATTGCTGTTGAGACTGATGATTGAATCAATGTTCAGAGTTGGCCAGAAACTGTGTATGTGTGTTTCTTCATGTGCAGGTGATCTACGTGCATCCCCGCTGCAGATCACCCATGCTGCCCGCAGCTTCCGGCAGTTCCCAATATCATGCATATCCAGCAACCTGACTGCCTCTGGCTCAACTCCGAGCTGGACTCAATTCATTGCCGGCTCTCCGCCCTCACCCGTTTCTGCCGAAATAACCACAACGCTTGCGGTGGCTGCCACATCGCTGTCAGATACAAACTACAGTTGTCAAATAAGCACAGGGATGGCATCCAATACTATCCGAGTTATTGTCGACCCAGGTGAGCTATGTTTTGAAGTGAACACTGGTATAGAGCTATGATATATTTTTCTGAGATTCCTACTTCATTTATTTTATTTATTTTTCATTAATTTTTTATTTGCCAAGGTTTTCATTGTGTGCCTTTGTGTACTTCATTTAAGTCCGTCATTTCAGCTACCTGTTGTACATCGTCTTGACCGTGAATTACTGGTTTTTGATATTGGGTTGCTCACCCAGCTGCTATAAATGAAATTGCAGAAATCATCCACCCGAATTAATGGTGTTGTTCATCTTTCGCTGAAGATGCTCTTTTGGGCAAACATTTGGAAAGAATTTGACGTTTTTGGAGAGGTGTATATTTTTATTTTGTGTAGCTAAGGACTTGGTGAGGCTGTGTGCGGTGGAAATTTGAATCAATTGTTCATCTAAATATTAAAAATATATATCTGAGCGATACAATTCATAGGAAGGAACTAGGGTCAGAGGTATGTCTCGGTCTCCATTTTTGGATTTGTAAGTGCATTGCTTGATTGGGTGGAGTGGTTGATATATGAGTGCATCAATCATTCCAACATCTTGTTTTTAACTTTCTGATTTGACCATGAAGGTCCACTAGGTTGCTCCGGTGTGTGCCCGACGGGATTCGAAGGGAACGGCGAAATCTGCGCAGGTGAGGATTGATGATGCGTTTGATTTCTTTTTTTTGGCTTCTTCTCTTGCAATCTATCCATCCATCCATCTCTCTCTCTCTCTCTCTCTCTCTCTCTCTCTCTCTCTCTCTCTCTCTCTCTATCCATCTCTCTCTATTTTTCCATTGCTCTCTATCTTTCTCTCTCTCTCTCTCTATTTTCATCTTTCCATTGCTGTCTATCTTTCTATCTCTATCTTTGTCTCCCTCTCTCACTCTGTATAGGACCCACTCCCCACATCCACAGATCATGACAAAAGGTTTCAATAAGTCTAATCTATGCTCGTATCACTTTCATGGATTACGAGGGCACTAAGATGCTATAATATTATATTTCCCTGGAACCGAATAGTCGTCACGCGGCCCCAACTCCTGACTTTAGACCTGTGAATGTTGTGGCGTAAAATAGACTTACCTCACTTGTCCATCACTTTTAGCTTCTAAGTCTTGCAGCCAGCTATGTCCGTTGCTTTTCAGCCACGAAATCCATGCCAGATCAGATTGTTGTTGCTACTGCTGTCATCACTGTTGTTGTCATTGACACTGTCAGTTTTTCCAGCACATAGCATATCACATTATCACAGAATGGCTTTCTCCTTGTGTCTGTACCAGATGTCGATGAATGCATAGCGGGCCTGCATAGCTGCTTGTCTACGACAGGTCCATGTCAGAACACAGTTGCATCATATTTCTGCGAGTGTTTGCCTGGATTTGAGGGTGGTGACTTTGGCAATGCGTGCACAGGTATGTATTTCCCAGAGCAAGTCTAATGTATCCTTTGCCCCCTTTAAATACTTCTTGTAGATACAAAGGAATTCTGTACACCATTCTGTTTAAATTTGAACTTGACCTAATCCCATTGAAGAGAATTCAACTAAATTTCCGAGTCATCTAATAGTCTTGGGCGTCTATGGCCTATGTCCTGTGCTGTAGGTTGTGTAAGCTGTGTTTGCTGTTGATGTGAATATCATAGTGCTGCTCTAGGATTATTGTTAACCATTGATTTGTTTAGCATATTGGGTTGTGTTGTGTTACGTTCAGACATTGACGAGTGCACTCCATCCCCATGCAATGACGAAGCGCGATGTGCAAACTTTCCTGGTTCGTTCATTTGTACGTGTAACCAAGGATTCACCGGAGATGGCTTCACATGTGATGGTGAGTTGCGAACGTGGGAGTACCGTGAAACCTCTTTTATAATGTACAGTAAAACCTGTCAAGGCGACCACTCGGATAAGGCGACCACCTGTTCTAGAATACCACTGCAACCAGGACCAATGGGTGCTATTTCCAGTCAATTGACCCTGGATAAGGCGACCACCTGGTGACAGAGACCACATTTTGAAAGTCCCTTGTGCGGTCGTGTTAGACAGGTTTCACTGTAGCATCACAGGCCACATGCATGCAGTGAGTGGGATTTTCGGTCTTTGACCACTTGCTGGTGAGCTGATCTACTCTCCTCCCACCGCTTTAGGAGCTGCATCTGCGCCTTGATCCTTGAAGGGTGGTGGTGTTCCTACGGATGCAGAAAACTCGGTCTCTAGCCGAGTCTGACGCAAACCATGAAATTGTTTTTGTTTATCACAGGCCGCATATCATGGAATGCTTGAAATGCTGGGCAAACGGCCAGCGAGTTGTAGCTAGTAGAGCGATGGCATGGGTTAGTTGGAACGTGACATGATGTGGTCCCGCTGTTGAGATCCATGAGACATTCACCTGCGAGGCAAGTCGATTGTGTGGACTCTCATAGTATGGTATAGCTGGCCTAGACCTCGTTTGGGATCAGAAGTTGAGGATCACGTGCTGCATAGTCCATAGACTTCCTGCAACTTCCAAATTTGAGGTAAAAATGCGCATTGTTGCCAATCCCTTTTCAATATTTTGTTTATGTTCTTTGCTCACAAGATATCAATGAGTGCGCCTCAGCGCCATGCTCCTTTGATCAGCCCTGTTTCAACACCAATGGATCGTTCATGTGCGCCTGTTCCCAAGGACTGACTGGACAGTTTTGCGAAGAAGGTACACTGGAAATGGTACACCTGGGGGGGGGGGGGGGTCGTGTCGCTGAGATGGCTACAGTTGTTCAAATCTATAATTCATTTGCGTTGTTCCATCAAGGTAACAATATTTGAAAGGGCTGCATATTGATCTTAGTGTTTCGATACATGACATCGTATCATAACACCTCAGACAGAAGAACGAGCAGTTGCGGTTTCGTAACTTTGAGTTTCACGAACTGAATAAATCATCAGACGAAAATTGATAACACCTCTTTATTGCAGAATGGCAGTGGCACTTTGCATTCAAATACATTCCTAACTTGTCAGACTCCAGCCCCCAGTAGCATAGCACTGTTTAGCTACAACATTGGTAGAAGTACTTGTCTCCCAACGCAAGTCCTTTTCCTTTACACTGGAATGAGTAGACAGTAAGGGAGTGGTACGATGCAGCGTTGACTACTTCCCACACTGTTTTCAGTAACTCCTTTTCTTCATCCACCAGGGAAAGATCTTGGCTTTGTGCAAATCTGATGTTGTGTGTCCTTTGGCTGTAGATATCAGAGATGAATGTATGGAATCTACCAATCCGTGCACATCGCCTAACACGGCCATGTGCATTGATGGACCAGCAGGAAATGTCACCTGTGTCTGCAGAAATGGCACTGTCGGCCGCTTCTGCGAAACTGGTATGTACCTGTGGCTTTCCTGGCCTTTTGCAACTACACTGGGCTAATGCGTAATCCGGATGGTAGCTGTGAATTGATCGCAGCATGACCCGGCCATTTTCCCTGGACTATGATGTGTCATTGGGAATATGGTGTTGAGATACATTGATTACAGGGTGAGATGCGTTGATCAAGACATATAGCAGCATGACTAATGGATCAGTTTCTGTTCATCACAAAGCAAATGTCTGTTGTATGAGAAAGGAGCAATGGCTGATGAGGGGAATGTGCAATCTGAGAAGGTTAGGATTCACTGATAAACCGGCTTCTGGAGATGATAAACATTCAATCATCTATATCTGTATGTGAGGTATATAGGTAGTGGGGAGAAGATCCAATCCTATACACTTACCCTAGCCTAGCCTAACTGCTAGGGATACAGATCATTGAACAAATAATGTCAGTCACGGCCGCTGTGGAGAAGGGAGTTTCCTGGGATGTGCAGTAAATTGATGCAGACAAATGTGAAAGAATTTTTGCTGATGGACCTCATCATCGTATGCTTTCCATACACATCTCTATGCTTGAAGTTGTTGCATTGTATTTCATCTTGGCCGTGTTTTAACAGCTATCTGCCCGGATCAGTGCACATGTGACGTATTGCCTGATGGCGACGTTGCTGCAATATGTTCGGGTCTAACTGAACCTCTGATCTTCATCCCTGACAACATTTCTTCGCTGTAAGTGAAAAGCCGCTACGGTATGTACTGAATGAACATGGAACCCACCTCTTGTGGTACATCCATTTCGTTTGTGATGTCAACACCATACCAATAATTTATGCAATCAATTTGTTAATCTCAGGATGTACCATGTGAAATGAACAATGAGAGTTACAGGTGGGACGGAGGGCGGGTGAGATATTTATAACAGAGCCGTCAAATTCATAATGCTACATTAAAATGTGTTTATGTTCAATAAAGGTTTCATGCAATGGCCTTAAGAGTGCTGAATTCTATTGTCTCCTTCTCTGTGCACACTCTGTTATGTATTATGATGTTTTGTAGCAAATTCAATGGCCAGTTGCAGGGAAACGGTTCTTTCTAATGTGTCGTTCTTATTGTCCACCGTGAATGTTAAAACTGCTCACACACACATCGGTGGTATTGGTGCAAAACTCCTAGATGCACACAACACAAGTGCATTTGTTCTGTTTCCTGCAGCACGATTAACAATAGTCCCCTCTTGACGTCCAACACAATCCCGCTTGGGAGGAATATGCTACTGACAGAGCTGTAAGCTTGCCTTTCCATTCAACAGCCTGATTGCGGTGTACTTGTACTAATTGGGCCATTTCATGTTCTTGTGGCACGGAGCATTGAGAGTAGGAAATCCACTGCAGCTCCTATTTTCACCTGGTGATTATGTGTGAACATGAAAACAGAGCCGCTTGCTTCAGAGTGCTTCCCTCTCTCCTTGATGTGTGAATGGGCTGTACATGCTGTGTGTTGCAGGGCTGTTGGCACTCTTGGAGCAGTGCAGCACTCTGAGTGTTTATATTATCGAAGAGAATTCTCAGCCTCCTTTCTGGACAGATACCAGTAAAGGCAGTACATGAAATATAATTTAGTAACCTTCAGATCACAAGGCTCTGTTGCAAGCATATTGTGCCTGCGATGACCACACGTGACTGGACGTACCTGTGAGCAGACAGCCACCGTGTTCGCTTTGTTGTGCCTGCAGTGTGATCGACAACACTGGAGTAACCAACTTTGATGCAGTCAATAATCTGGGTATATTTGAAAAGCTAGTCACTTGGTAAGTGTGAATGGACGATGGCGTGAGTAGACATGATAGCTTCGAACTGGATTTCGTAATTGTGGCGCGTCTTAAAAACTGTGCATTACTGTTTTGATTTTGTTGATGGAGAACATGCAATTTTGTAGCGCCTCTATTCTCACAAATTCCATGCTCCTTAAGATGAGGAGTTTGGCTCGAAATTTGTATGATGAAGATGCACGGAAAGATTATGCACTGTTTTTGAGATATGAAGATTCATTCGCATGAAATTTGCAGGTTTTCAGTTTACATAAGAGAATGAACATGAGGACTTCCGGATGTGCATGTAGAGGGGGGGGGGGGGGGGATTTGAAAACTCTTGACGAACCAACATGGTCTATGTAGAGAGTGATTCATGGTACTGGGCAGTCAATAACATGACTGTAATCCAATGAGTACAGTACAGGTACAGCAGACCTTTGCTGGCCATCTAACCTGCATTGCTACGCAGACTTGCACTAGGTGTAAGCTCCGTATCTTAATGGATCCAAATGCGGATCGAAAACGGAATAATCTGGGGGTGACTGCCGTTTCTAGTTGAACATAGGTTCATGCACTCGCCTTGATAACACATAACATTTTTTGGACATCTGAAATGTGATATTCCACCACGGCTTTGCGCACATGTATGCTCTATACCCTGCAGGAGAGTTACCAACAACAACATCACAATGTGGCTGAGTGACCTAGTGCCCTTGCTGGATACATTGTCACCTTTCATAGCCGTACAAACACTGTAAGTTTCCTGTCCTGAGAGATTGTAATGCTTTCTCAGCCTTTCTGTATAACTGAGTTAGAGCCATTAAGTAGCGATGATGCACACAGTATGCTGACAGTGCTCAACACCGCGGAGGCAGAGCATGATACACAGAACAACAAGGGCAATGCCAGTTTGTCGTTACTCTGAATTTCAATATTATGCAATCATCAGGCCACATACGGATGCCATTGGCCATGCCGGTGGAGCATTTAGCCATCAAAATATTTTAACACAATCCTGCCGGTGCGTTCAGTCTACCATCGATAAGCCGTTCAGTCTATTTAATTATAGGAGACAATGATAGACAATGATGTGTGTCCTATGGCGAGTAGACCGTACTGGTGTTCAGCAACATGGCATCTAGCTCCACCACGGCATGCGGATGCACACCAACAGCCTTTTCACTCGGAAATGAAGTTGGTTTCCGAGTTAAAAGGCTGTTGCGTGTCCGCAAGACATGAGGCAACATCCTTTCAACTCTGAAGGTTTTGGTTGTGGACTACAAACACAGTTGGGAAGGCCTAGGAGAGAAGTCCAGGCAAAAAATAGGCTGAATGGCAAAACAAACTGAGAAGGTTGGCTATGATAGGATGAGGACGGTAGGAAAGCTCAGAGGTTCACTTCGAGAACACATAACAACCATCTAACTATCAAGGGTCGTGTTTATAATCCTGGTTATTTATTGATGGACAACAGTTACCAACCACACCTAGTAAACTAGCGTTATTCGTCCTACTTTCTTAGGATGTAGTAGGTGTAAGCTACGTTTTGTCAATTTCTCACACAATCATGTCTTTGTATATTATTTTCTCCAGAGACCTGACTGGAAACATGATATCAAGCATCGATCCTGGAATTTTTCGTCTCTTCCCCAATCTGACTGAATTGTGAGTGCCTTGAAGTTAAAGACCGGTTTTGTGATGGCGGTAGTGTTGGCTCGGATTTTGTGTTTACTTAGGGGCATAGTTACACTGTAGTGTTCCCTCCACAGCTAAACATAACACCATTCTTTGTGATGTATTGATATCTTGAACTTAGAAGCAGCGACTTCAGCTGTGTTGATGTCTTAATTTGTTTAAACTTAAAATGCAATTCACCCACCCAGTAAGGTTACTTATTACGTCAAACGTCATCCTCTGGAGATCTACAGGTAAAAAGGATGCAAGGAGATTAATATTTTTCTTGTGAAGTAACTGATATGATTTTTTTCACATTTTGTTCCTCATGCGTAGTGACTTTTCTGGCCAGCGCGCTGTCATTCAGCTCTCACCAGTGTTCCTCAACAACCTGACAATGCTGAGAATAGTGTAAGAAGATGATCTTTTGTAGCATGGCTACTATATAACACGTAATTTGTATACACATAAATAGTATACCGTAGGAGTGCATGTATAGCTGTGCGCATACTCGCACTGCCTTAGTCTTCTTCTTCTTCTTCTTCTTCTTCTTCTTCTTCTTCTTCTTCTTCTTCTTCTTCTTCTTCTTCTTCTTCTTCTTCTCCATGTGAGACAATGAACACTGATAACTTACGTATTACTACAAGTATGTGCTTTGAGAATCGTGAGTGCTGAGAGTATACGGGTTACACTATTGCCTATACGAGCCTTAGGCACACAGCTTCACAGCTGTTTGGTTCTACTGCTAAGGCAACTTCTCTTCCTGGTCATAGTAATAACAAAAACAGTTTGCTTGTAGCCCATGAGTGAGAGCACCCATGGGGTTAACGCATCTGTTGGTAAATGAGAAACAGAAACGATAAATGCATGTACATAATAATCTTGTAGAGAAGGGAAGATAGATGTTCTGTGGATTTAGCATGCTATATTCAATAGGTGGTTTTAGAATAGTATTACTTGGAAAAGCAAACAACTCTAATAGTGAAAATTCCACTTCCTTCCTTGCAGGAGAATTGAAGACTGCATAATTGGATCTTCATTGCCAGAAGGCCTCTTTGCGACAACGCCCAACTTAGAGCAAGTGTAAGTCACACAGGGCTGGTCACGTTGGTATTGATTGATAGTGCTGCTATTGTGTTTGTTGTGGGGCAATATCCAACAGCTCTACCTCAGTTTTGATGCTGAGTAGAGTTTGTAAGGTTTGGTATTTTCTTTTTCACTCCATGATGCCAACAATATTTTATTGGCCAATCCATCTTATAAGCAATGCTAGTGGTCTGTATTTTGATGTTCTGAAGTTTCTTCATGCCTCATGGTGTGAAACCTTTTTTAACACCCAGCTCAGTGGTGCTTGGATGGTCATTCACTTTTGGGATTTTACATGTTTCAAGTTCGAGCAATATTGTGCTCGAGGAATATCCCAGCGGCATAGGTGGTACCTAGATATGGGGCGAGGGGTTAAGTTTCGCTAACCACTGCCACAGGCGGTATATCCCCATTAGCCACGTCCACGTACCCCTTCTGCCTGGCCACAATTCACTTGACTGTGGGAAACCACTCCATGGCGGGGCTTTTACCAGGGCACCTCTCGCATCTCGATCATGGCATTATTCCAACCCCTCGGCTTGCCCGACACTCTTCTATTGTACTGAGAAAGAATCGATATCTGTCTGCTTCCAACAGAATTTTGTCAGGCAGCAACACCACCAGCCTGCCAGAAGGCCTGTTTCAGTCGACTCCAAATGTTACCTTGTTGTAAGTGTACAGTGCTTATGCTATAACAGCTACTTACTGTAACTCATCCCAAGTATCTGTGTGGCAATGTTTGCTGAATTTGAAATTTGTCGTGGTCATCATCTCTGCATATTATGGTTTTCGTATTTCTTTGCGACTAGCATGTGTTGTACGTTATTTTGTGTGCATCATGCTTACGTGGGTGTTCGTGCATGCGTGTGTTGCTGTTGTGTGAAAAGCAGTCTTCGTCTTGAGTTTTCCATGTCTAGTTGTGTTTCCGTAGTCGTCATTTAACAATTATAGTCTTTCAAATGTAATCATCTCGTCATCTTGTCTAAGTGTGGAGATGGCATGGGTTACAACAAATACACGTTCCATGCCTACTATACTATGTAGCGCTACGGAATTTCGAAATCACCTGTCTTTTGTGGATTTGTGTCTTTGACTATTGTAGAAGCTTACAGAGAAATTCGATCGGAGTGCTGCCCACTGGCCTGTTCAATGGCCTTAGGAGACTCCAAATTCTGTAAGTAGATTTTTGGATATGCCTTATTTACACTTATTACCCAGAGTAACATAGCCTTAGACTAACTTTTTTTAAATATATCTTAGATTCATTGGCACAAAAAGAAGAAGGATTTTCAACTGCAGAACCACAGCATGAAAAACAGAGATTCCTTTTTGTGGTACTCAGTGTTGTAAATCATGTTTCATTATGAATCCAGGACGCTTGCCGACAACACTTTGACTGATCTACCCGCGACGGTATTCGGCCAATTAGCGGGATTCATTGCAGTGACATATTGTATGGAAGATAGAAGTAAATAGTCCTGGGATTAGTTCAGTGGATGATGCAGGTATTTGTTCAGTGGATGATGCAGATGTATGTATCACAGAAGAGTAGCTCTTACAGTCCATTCATAAAAAAAGATGAAATCTGGCTCTTTCAAGCTCCCGTATTTGGTAATCTTGTTGATTATATTCTTCTAGTTTTTTTATCCTGGGCTCTCCATTCAAATCTTTTCTGCACACCTGATGAACCGGCAGAATCCATACGGCAAAACTTACATCGTGTGATACTAGTTGCTATTGCCGTTTGTCAGACCATCACAAGTTCCATCCTCCATGTAGTACAGTACAAAGAGATTCTCAGATAGTGCCGTGCGGTCTGTCTCACTTTGAGTTTACATAACTTCCCCTCTTTGTTTATCTCCGATAACATGAGCCTCCTAAGTTGGGTGTTCGTCCTTTTGCCTTCTCAAAGTGAGCAGTCGGCGTCCTGTACTGTGGTCCTTCGTCTTTCGCCACCATCACGTCAAAGCTATAACATTCTTAGTTAGCTGTGATGTTTAGCTTGTTTTCGTCTTGAGCACATTCACTTTCCCCTTTCATAACTTAGAACCTTCCAATCTGTAGGCTGTTGGTTTGCACATCCAAGACGTGATAGAGCTTATCATCAGGTCGTTGAATGTCAGCAACACATCAGTCAGTATTGTGCTAACTGTTGCACCTTCTGACTACACAATATCTTACTTATAATTGTTGGTGTTGGACACATAACATGTAACATTTTGGTCCTTTCTTCTAATTTGTACGGCTATAATTATACTTAGTCTCAATATAGATTATTTGTAAACTCATCTTTTAATGAATGGACTGTATGTAGTGTATACCTCTCAACAAAGGGCACCTACACATCCTGGACACATTGTTTTCAGCCCCAGCTATTTCTAATCTCCTAAGAGTTTCCTTGGAGACAAAAAAAGCTATACAACTCAGTAGTCGTACAAACTTCATGATCTTCAGCAACATTGTGAAATGGTTTTTACGAGTAAACAACTTTGCTCTTTGCTCTTGCCTGTATACTACCTGAATAGAGGTTACGCTTTCCAACGGCCATAAGAGAGTTGGAAAGCACGTGTCTTTGTGCGTAGCCGTGACAATCATGGTGGTTCGGTCCGAGTCTGCGCAAAGCAGACACAGCCCAACGTGGTGTTCACTTCGCAGTGTCCTACTTCTCTGGTGTTACTGTGCCATTGCCAGCCACTGGCTATGCAACTCTGTTGTTGTAGCTGTGTTGTACGGGCGGAGCACGAAGACGGCACGGAAGTTTACTCTTCATAAATCAAAGACATTACACCACTCATATCCCAGACTACCGTATTTTACCGGTTGTAAGTCGACCCCGGTTATAGGTCGACCCCCGTATCCGAGGTCTCATTTCTGCGTTTTAAAGCTTTCACCCAACGAAGCACTACCAACCACTCCCTGCTACTAACACATCAACAAATCATGTAAACATTCCTTATTGGAGGGTATAACGTCCCAATCCTTGAAAAAGGCCAATAAACTAGGGGTGAAACGGTTACCCTTTAAGGTAACAAACGGGTATCTGGCTTAACGGGCGGGTTATCGGGTACCCTTTATCCGCCATACTTTTTCCAAAAACGTTGCATTTGCTTGGGATTGTAAGCGCAACATGTCTGTTGCAGGCATTCAGATAGGAGAGCGATTTTCGGGCAACAATTGCTACAGTAGCCTTCCGGATTTCACGCCAGGAGGATATGCGAAGTCATACAAGTACACTACACCGCGACAAGCACAGTGTGCACAATCACTGCGCTACATGCTAACAGTCGAAATTGTCGTAGCTACAATGGATACCGTGATATGTAGCAGGATTGAACGAGGAAACACACTCAAAACTGTGCACTGAACTGTACAACTGTACAAGCAAGCTTCTAATACTGTACCCTACAATCCTACACAACTATCGGGTACTCGTTTGCTGACGGATCAGCAGCTAAACAGACGGGTACCCGGGTTACCCGGATCACCCCTTTCACCCCTACAATAAACTGGCAAACATGTGTACACATGGTGCACTCATGCATGCAGGGCAGATCATTTTGTGTAAGATTTTGATAGTTCCCGGTTATAAGTCGAATCCCGGTTGTAAGTCGACCCCCACCCTTTCTCCTTCTATTTTTAGTCGTAAAAGGTCGACTTACAACCGGAAAAATACGGTACTTCATTCCAGCTGTGCAGAAGTCTTGGAAGAAATTTCGGACGTGCTAGATGTTGCCTGTGGCAGTACCGATGGCCAGTTCCAACTCCCTTGTTGTGACTACAACAAAACCAAATGATTATCTTCCATTGTTGCTCATTGCTTCTTCTTTGCAGGCAATTATTTGAGAATCAAATTGCCGAGCTTCCGGGTGATATCTTCAATGGACTTGATTCGATGACTAGTGTGTGAGTAAACATCTGATATTCCCAGGTATTGTATGGCAGGGAAATATAAGCATCACCAAGCATACATCATCTGATCGCCATTCAGTGGAGGATTAGTTCGGGCCATGTCTGTTTTATGCAGACTACCCCAGCACATTTAAAATGATTTTTTTCGCAGGCGAAAAAATATGTTAACACAGAAGGCGCATGCTCTGTTCCCAACAAACTCTCACGCGCTCATTGTTCTCCGAAGTCCACTGTTCCTGACTTCAGTTCTTGCTTTGTCCGCATTGGCAATGGATTTCTTTCTCACATCACACGTTTTTCTTTGAAATAATTTGTACAGGATCGATTGGCTTCGGTCAACCACAGGTTCCGGATTCGTCTGATAATCCGTGTGCAGTGCGCATTGCATCATCAAAATGACGTCAACTTGAAATTCTGTCGGGACAGTACCCATAGTGGAGTTGCACACTCTGGGGGGGGGGGGGGGGGGGGGGTTATGTACTCTTGATAATATGAGATGGGTAGAGAGGAATGCAATTCGAGGTTTTCAGTGAATTTCTCTTTTTTTTCCTTGCTGTTTGTTTTAATGTTCAGCTCTCTTGATCTGGCCGTGACCTGTGCTCATGCATGCTGCATTGTGTAAAGTCTGAGGCATTATCTTTGTTGTTGTGTTGTGTATTCAGGGACTTTCGTGCCAACAGGCTCACAGGCGTTGCACCAGAACTGTTCAGTGGCACACCTGCCCTGCGGAGTGTGTATGTTTTAAATAGCATTGCCGAATTTTCTGGAGTATAAGCCTCGCTAGAGTATAAGCCCCAGATTGTGGTCAGGAAATACTGACATCTAACGTGTATTTCACGGCTCATTTGACCACTGTGGCACAGCACTGCATGCTCGATGCTCGATGCAATTGGTGCAGCGGAAACTGTCCTGATATTACAGGATTTCGCTTGATCCAGGGAAGCAAGTTTGGTTTACAGCACATCGGTGCGTAACGATTTGTCTGGTCAGTTAATGATTCTGCTTGGTACAGGGTGTGGCAAACATAACGTTTACTGTATAACCCTCACCGAATTTCTTTTTGGGTGAAATACGAGTGTTTAAAGGGTGGCTTGTACTCTGGAAAATTCGGTAAATACATAATGTAATAGGGCATGCCGCGATCTCTAGATCAGAAAATGAAGAAAAGCAGTATGATGTACGTAGTGGTAGTGGTGGGGGCGGTGGTGGTGGTGGCGGCGGCGGCGGCGGCGGTGGAGGTGGTTGTAGTGATGGCGGCGGTGGTGGTGGTGGTGACACTGTATGCCTGTTTCCGTTTGCTTGATGGTTCTGTGGGTGAATTGTCTAGAATAGAAATGGTCAGGTTGGCCGTTTTCTTTTCCAATAGTATGGGCGATGATCATCTATCTCGTATTGGTCTTGCCTCACCAGCTGAAGTCAGCAACTCAATGTTAATTGGGGGTCCTGAGGGTTGAAATTCTCTCCATGAAAACTGAACTGGCAGCCTCACATTTGGCGAGGGAATTCTTACAGATTTTCGTGTGGCTAACGTTACTCCGATCAGGAGCCATGATGATGAATGTCGTAACCGCAATTATTCTTGCTCTTCTCTTCAGGTTTTTCATCGACAATGACATTGTTGAGCTACCGGTGGGCTTGTTTTCTTCTATTCCCAATCTTGACCAAGTGTAAGGGAGTTGTTGTCAGATTGTATGTTGTGTGTAGTCATGAATACATGAAAACCATTCCATATGGTCGACTCCTGATATAACGCACACCATTGTGCAGTATAATTGATTCTCCATAGCCTACATTGCATGTCCGTACAACATTGATGACAGAAATGCAGCTACACCTTTCAAGAAACACTGCATAACTATCATGAGGCCCACGACTGTATTAGTACACTTGGTTCACGTGGAACCCTACAACAGTACAAGGTATGGTTCATTATCAACGAAATCTGTTCACTACAAAGGGTCATTATTAATTGGTTCCAATAGGCACGTGGACAATGGTTTAAAACTATATCACGAAATTCACTATACGAGAGTTCCTTACAAGTGGAGTGGACTGTACTTTTTCTTGCAGGATACATCAATAACACAGCTGTCCAAACCAATCAGTCAGGTTCTCTCACAGAGCTTCCATTGGCTTTTTTTGATTGTTGATGGCTACTTAGATTCCTGTGAGAAGAAAACTGTGTACCCTCAAACCAAATTGGTGTGCTAATTTTTGTATGTGTGTGTGTGTATGTGCGTGTGTGTTCAGGTTTCTTGACGACAACAATATCCGGGCGTTCCGTGCTAACACGTTTCGAGCTGACGCCAGTTCAGGGTAAGAAGTCTGCACTGTGATTGTAAAAAAACAACACAGAAGTCTGGATTATTCGTTGCATCTGCTAGTGTGATTTATTGGCGACCATCAGCCAACATCAGCAACTTGTACTGATTGTGCACACGTGCTTAAAGCAAGCATGGGTTTACTATGTGGCACTGGATCCCCGATTTCCTAGGCTTTCACCACTTGATACCGTTGTCGTGCTGACAAATAGCATGTCAATGTGTTACGAACACTAAGCTGGTGAGTGGTGACTCAGTTCCATAGCTTGGTCCGTGCAAATATGATTACCAGGTACGAATTGATGTTGTTTTCCAGTCAGTTGTAATAGACGGATCCACGGGCGTGATTTGATCTAACACCCCAAGCTGGTCTTGGAATCTAAGAATTCTTTCTTGCTTTCACCTTTGGGTTTCCGGTATGTCTCCAGTCTTGTAACAGTGCAGATCGATAGAAATCCCTTGGATGATTGCACATGTGTCCGAGCAGAGTTACAGGAAATCAACAAACTCGTGACATTTACTACTACCTTTGTCCCTCCGTGTCCAGCAATCACTTGTGGTAAGCGATTCACTCTTGTGTCTAACAGGAAAAAGACAGACAGGGAGACATGGGAAGAGCGTGAGATAGGGAGTGATAGAGAGAGAGAGAGAGAGAGAGAGAGAGAGAGAGAGAGAGAGAGAGAGAGAGAGAGAGAGAGAGAGAGAGAGAGAGAGAGAGAGAGAGAAAAAGAGAGAGAGAGTGAGAGAGAACGAAAGAATAGAGAATATTCAAGGAAAATAGTGAAATATAAAAAATATGAAAGGACACATGGGTATGTGTTATGCGTAACTTTCCAATACTGCAATAAGATTATAGAGCAGTCATAAAGTTCGATAACTAAGCACTAAACTGAAAGACTACTGAGACATTCAACGACCTGGAACCTAGCACTAAACTGAAAGACTACTGAGACATTCATCGACCTGGAACCTAGCACTAAACTGACAGACTACTGAGACATTCAACGACCTGGAACCTAGCTCTAACATATCTCCGGTGCGCAAACCAACAACCTTCCAGTTTCAAGATTATGGCAGGACCTACATGTATGAGGGGAAGGTGGTCGTGGAGAAAATGTGCACAAGCTCTATCCCACGGCAGCAAAGAATGTCGATTGTAACAAGACGAAGACATGATCAGTTAATAACTTTACAATGCGGTCAAACTACGATTCGAAGCAACAAACTTGCACTTCACCCATTTTGGGTGGGTGGGAATTATCAACGATTTTGATAATTCTGCACATTTTGGCTGCACTCGCCTGCCCCTCTTTGGTTTTACCATAACATTGAACCTTCAATTCATTTATTATTGGCTCAGTATCCGAGTTTAAAGAGTGTGCATAGAGATAAAGACAGAGAAAGAAAGGCGGAGAAGTAGTGATTGGGAGCTACAGATGGACAGGGGTGTCTGGATGAGGAGGCCGGGGGAAAGAGTGGTCGGATAGGTGAGGTGTTGAAAGGTCTGGTGATGCATTTCCCATGTTATCTTGTTTTGTTTGCATAAAGAGAAGAAGTTTCTGCCACTCGTGCACCCCTGACATGCTCAACAAGTTTTGAATACCGCAATAGCGCTTTCAAGAATGCTCATGGATTGATCCATGACTATGTAATTGCAATGCATCTCTTTTTCAGTCTTTCCATTGTCGTTGGTCCCTTGTGTTCCGGTTTATGTGTCCTTCAGATTTTGATACATTTGTTGTGCCAATGGAAGCCTTCATAACGCCTGAATCGGCTGGAGTATTTTTATCCTGCTTGGGACGCCACGTTGACTCCACCATTAGCATGAGCACCAGCTTCAGGGTGTCCTGGTTCAAGAATGGAGTGCTTCTGGTGCAAAGTAGCCCACTGCTGCTTGTCACGGACTTGGACAATGGTAAGTCATGCAATACAGAACAACTTGAGCCTTGTGTTCACTGGATTTAGTATCTAGCTAACACTTCTGACGCCCTTGCAGCTACATGCACATTTGATCGCCAATAAGAAGTAACAAGAAGAAGAGAGGACCAAAAGAGAGCTACAAATTACGCTATCATATTCACTAACAGCACCAGTTACTTTTGGTCTTGGTTTTGGTTACTTTTGATCTTTTGGTCCTCTTGTCTTCTTATAAATTAATCCTTGGCTCTCCGCCCAACTTTAACTAATATTCACCAGTTGAGGAATTTGAACATGTTCCAAAGCACACAGTTCTCATCTTCATTAATCCTTTCAGACAGGCCCGACAAGGAAACAAAAAACAAAACTAATAGCAGATGAAAATTCTTCAGCTTCAGCGATGGACATGTGTAAGTAAGTGTGTGTGGGTGTGTGTGTGTGTGTCTGTGTGTGTGTTCGAGTGTGTGTGTTTGCAAATAAGTGTATGCTTGATTGCTAGTGTATTTATGCATGTGTCTGTGGTACATACATTATATGCTCCCGGACTCCTAATAGCTACATACACGTGTGAAGTTGGACCAGAAGAAGACGTTACGCAGGAAGCTACGCAGGAATTGTTGGAAAACCAGAATCGTCGCCGCAAGAGGCAAGTCAATGGACCATTTTCTGTGACCAACTCTAGTGCCAGGGTTATAGGTGAGGATCTTATCATTCACATGCTATTACCATATTTCCATAGTACAAGCCATACATTGAACAGTCAAAATTCACCCAAAAAGGGGTACGGCTTATACTCCGATGATCAAATTGCCCCCCTTCAGAAGCGCCGACCGACTTTTTTTTTTGACTGATCTCGATCGAAACCGAGCTCGCGCGCACTTCCTGTGTAGATGACAAGGCCCAGTCGCTGTACTGCATGCACTGTACACATTCATGCACTGGTTCACCGGGTCCGTAGATCGATACGCGGTACGCGTGTACTGAACTTGTGAACTGTCAACTCTCGTCGCGTCGATCTGTATTCCGCGATCCGCGATCCGTGCGCACAAGAACTACGGTTTTGGTCTAGTACTGCACTGTACTCGTAGTACGAAAACAAAGACGGTACAAGTGCAAGTACACCGTCCAAAACTTCGCATGGCAATGCGTAGATTTTCCTGCCCTTGCCTTGCAAACTTCACTTGCCTTGGCGTTCCAGAACCTCGTTGTTGTTTTACAGCAGTTCGAAAATGAAGAGAAGGAAGCAACTTACCTTGTTTGATTCGCTGCCACCTGCGAAGGAAGCTAGGACAGCTACTAGTGGATGTGCCGCTCGTGAGGATGTTGTAAATGTCGTAGAGTCCAGTCCCCCCACGGAGCAGATCGCAGCGTCGTCAGCCGAACTAATAGTACGAGTATTTCACACTTGCATACCAGCATTAGAAATTAATCATTTTACTATACAACTTGAACTAAATAATTACATCAATTCATAAAACATCACAAACATCATAAAACAGGTCTTTTTCCGTTTGGTTGGTACAATTGCTAATTGTTATATTATACCAATAGTGCCCATACATTTACATGTTCGAGTATCACAAAAGTCATTGTAAAAGTAAACTTGTTCCATTGAGCCTGTAGTGTGCCCCCCCCCCTTGTTTCGGATCCTGGATCCGCCACTGGCTACCCAGGCCCTTGATAAGCTCTGACTTGGACATTCTCTCTCTCTCTCTTTCCAACGAATCTCGACTTGAGACTTGAGTTATTGACTTGCGTCCTTTTGTGACCGTGGCTGGTCGCGTGTGTGATCCGTTGATCCTAACATTGGCGCCCAACGTGGGGCTCGAACCCACGACCCTGAGATTAAGAGAGTGCAGCTTATACTCCAGTGCAGCTTATACTCCAGTGCGGCTTATACTCCAGTGCTGCTTATACTCCAGTGTGGCTTATACTTCAGTGTGGCTTATACTCCAGTGCAGCCTATACTCTGGAAAATACGGTACATTACAAATGGGCCATCTGATTTACTTTCAGAAAGTACTACGGTTGCCGACTATGTTGACTGTCATTTGTGATGTGCATGGTGGCGAGCAGACACAGCTCTTTATGGTGGTTGAGCAGTAAGGAGTTGAGCAAATACAGGCTTCAACTGATTGGTAGGAATCGCTTTGTTTGCCGACTTCCACGGCTCTGGTACATTCGTTGCTCGCTAATGTACAGGCTGTTCGATTTTGATTGATATTCTTTGCATGCTACAGTTCTCCCAGCTGGTCTGACTCAATGTCCAACTGGCCTCACAGGAAACCCTGTGCAATGCTTTGGTGAGTATGGTGTGGTGTATTTGATTGCTATCTGACACTCTAAACCACATCTATACAGTAATAAGTAATTACCTTAACTGTTGCACGGACGGCAGGTGCTGGAAACAGTGATCATGCACTCTGGGTGGCTCCCCTGGCTAGCATGGCTGATTGAGAGTCAACCCTCACCAGCCGCATTCTATCAAAACCCCAGTCACAGAACACACGTTAGTTGACGTCGGCCGTCGGCTTTCTCTGAGTGGAATTGAGCTCGAACAAGCCAGAACTTGATTCGAGGTGAAAGAGTGGAGTTACGGCACTCACAAGATATTACGTCCTGTTGTAAATTTTTACTTCCGCGGGTGGTGACAGTCAAGGGACTTCCCCTGTTGCCTCATAGTCCAGGCATGCATAGACCAGTGTGACATCAGGCACAGGTCTTAAGCTGTCAGGTGCAAAAACAACGCTCTATGATGAATACTACATGAACACCAGGGATCCTAGGAACTTGTCTCAAATTCTCATTCTGTGTGTCTTACCAGGCCTACACCACCAGTTTAGTAGTGTTGTAGTACGGTATTTTGTGTACATCGTGTGTACGTGATGTTGGTGTATGCGTGCGTTTTGTGTGATGTGAAAAGCAGTCGTTGTCTTCAGTTTGTCGTGTCTAGTTGTATTTCTTCATCGTGTCGATAAACAGTCTTCTAAATGTAGTTATCTCCTCGTCCATTGTGTAAGTGTGGAGATGCCATGGCACTGTGAGCAGGTGGAGAAAGGCATTTACAACAATAGCACTCCTCCACACTGTTGTGTTGCTCTTGCAAGTAGCTTTCCAGAAAGTCTGAGATTTTCAGAATTGATGAAGGGAAACAAAAGTGATCGAAACAGCCTCCGTATGTAGTGCATACAGTATGAACTTCAATACAGTTATGCAGTCTTGTAAACCTGTTCGCAAATATGCTCCCATGCACAGATATCGATGAATGTAGCATGGGGCTGCACAGCTGCAATGCTACAACCGGTTCATGTCGGAACGAAGCAGGATCTGTCATCTGCCAGTGCATACCCGGGTTTGAGGGTGGCGAACTAGGGATGGCCTGCACAGGTACCGCGCATGTACTTTTTAAACGGTCTGGGGCTTGCTATTCTTCATGTGTGATTGTGCACCATTCTGTGATTGTGCACCGGAGGTGTTTTTCAATTACGCCTCTACCTGCACTTCAATGTATGGACTGTCAACTGTGTGCCATACAAGCACCCTTACACTGTCTTTTGTGCCGTGCTTCACATGGCGTCTGACTGCAATGATTAGCCTGTGATTCCCCGTGCTTGTTTTACCCGTACCAGTCACCACATGCGTCTACTGCAGCGCTACCCAATGAAAACCGATCTCGTGATTCACCTGAGTAGCGCACTGCACCAGTTTACAGCCCAGCGTTCACGGCTCTAGGGCTGCACAGCACCCAGCAGCTGCTTAACTTCCTTGTTCGGATTTCATTGAGCAGCACTGTACACGAGGAGTAGCGTTATGATGCTCCCACCCACGGATGTGCTTACTTCTCTTCTCTCTGTTCAGAGCCTGGTGATTGCGTAAGCTTGAAACTCAATGTAGCGACAAACTTGCATTGCCCATTGAAACTCAGTGTAGTGCCAAACTTGCATTGCCCATTGAAACTCAATGTAGCGACAAACTTGCATTTCCCATTCCATTTCTGTGTCTCTGATCAGAAACAAATGAGTGTACGTCCGGCACACACAACTGTGACGCAGCTGCGACATGCGACAATACAGTTGGAAGCTTCATTTGCACATGCAATGCATCCTTCTTCGGTGATGGTACTTTCTGTTCAAGTAAGTTCCACCGTATCTGGTAGTTCCTGACCTTGATGCCTTCTTCCAATTTTGTTGTTTTCTAACCAAAATATTTTACTCCGCAGTCCAACATAATTTCCCGCAAAATTTGTATATGAACATTGGCTCTATATATGCGTGTTTGGGGGGAGGGGCTCGGCACTAGGATCCTGTACGCTCACCAGAACTAGGGAGATGCATTGACGATTGTTTTCTTTCTTTTTTTGAACACTCTTCTAGTTGCTTGCCCTGAGTTTTGCACGTGCAATTCTGGAGGTGTGAGTTGCGTCAATCCCGCCGTCATTCCAACTAGTTTTCCATCTAATACCACAATCCTGTAAGTATCATTAGGACATGCTGTGCTTGCTCTTAGAAGGTTGGTTACTCGCAACCGACTCGAGCTGGATTGTTGTGAGCCATGAACCCGAAGTCAATACCAGTCAATAATGTTGTTCCTGTTGCTGCTGCTGCTGTTGCTGTTGCTTCTGCTACTGTTGCTGCTGTTGCTGCTGCTGCTGTTGCTACTGCTGCTGTTGCTACTGCTGCTGCTGCTGCTGTTGCTGTTCCTGTTGCTGCTGCTGCTGTTGCTGCTGCTGCTGTTGCTGCTGCTGCTGCTGTTGCTGCTGCTGCTGTTGCTGCTGCTGCTGTTACTGTTCCTGTTGCTGCTGCTGCTGCTGCTGCTGCTGCAGCTGCTGCTGCTGTTGCTGCTGCCACTGCTGCTGCTGCTGTTGGTGCTGCTGCTGCTGTTGCTGCTGCAGCTGTTTCTGCTGCTGCAGCTGTTTCTGCTGCTGCAGCTGCTGCTGCTGTTGCTGCTGCAGCTATTTCTGCTGCTGTTGCTGCTGCTGCTGTTGCTGGTGCTGTTCTTGTTGCTGCTGCTGCTGCTTCTGGTGCTGTCGCTGTTACCGCTGCTGTTGCTGTTGCTGCTGCTGCTGCTGTTTCTGCTGCTGTCACTGCTACTGCAGTTGCTGCAGTTGCTGCTCCTGTTACTGCTGCTGCTGCTTCTGGTGCTGTTGCTGTTGCCGCTGCTGTTGCTGCTGCTGCTGTTTCTGCTGCTGTTGCTGCTGCTGCTGCTGTTGCTGGTACTGCTCCTGTTACTGCTGCTGCTGCTTCTGGTGCTGTTGCCGCTGCTGTTGCTGCTGCTGCTGTTGCTGTTGCTGTTGCTGCTGCTGCTGATTTTGCTGTTGCTGTTGCTGCTGCTGCTGCTGTTGCTGGTGCTGGTGCTGTTGCTGCTGCTGCTGTCGCTGTCGCTGTTGCTGTTGCTGCTGTTGCTGTTGCTGTTGCTGTTGTTGTTGCTGCTGTTGCTTTTGCTGTTGCTGTTGCTGGTGCTGTTGCTGTTGCTGCTACTGCTGTTACTGCTGTTACTGCTGAAGCTACTGGCGGTGTCGGTGTTGCCTTGTTCATCATTGTTGTTGCCATTATCATTACTGTCGGTTCATGATTGTTTATGGCTACTCGGCTTGGGTTCACCTTGCTAGTGTTTGCAGCAATTCATGGATGGGATCATGCAGTCCGTCGATATTTGTTAGTTGGAAAAATGTGATATGCAAGTTATTGTATGCGTGTGTGTGTGTGTGTGTACGCGTGTGTGTGTGTGTGTGTGTGTGTGTGTGTATGTGTGTGTGTGCTTGTGTGTGCGTGTGCGTGTGTGTGTGTGTGTGTGTGTGCCACTATGTTTACTCTGCTTCAGGTCAATTTCTGGGTTGAACTTTGTGAACCTTCCTGCGGACATCTTCAGAAACCTTTCTCAACTCACAACTTTGTAAGTATGATTGTGGGAAGGTTGGCTTTTTAAGTTGCTGTTTGCGTATTCTTAGACGAATTCTGCATTCTAATAAAGTATATCATCTTCCGGTTCCTGGGCTTCAAGTAACCACCCGTCAGGACTTAAAAGTCTTTGGAAACCCCCTCCGCAATGGCCTTGAACTGGCTTATTTTAGCAAGTGAACCAGATACTATCAGCGATATACTAAGTACGAGGGAGCAAACCCTTTCTTAATATACTAAGTACATACTGTCTTTCACCTATGGTAGCATGTTCCAGACTGTCGGTGGTTGGTCCCCCAGGGAGGGGGGGGGGGAGACAGAGATCCCATCATTATGTATGGCACGTGTTGTGGGCTGCCACTGGAGTGAAAACATTGCCAGCGCCTTCTTGGACCGGGTTGGTTCAAAAGCTGAAATTCTTAGAGAATTTTTCATAACAAGCAGGATCCCGGGTTTGAGTCCTTATGGCTTTGGAGGTTTCCACTTTTCTTGTAGTCTTCTTCCCTCACTGATCACTTTTGATGTGTTCGTTTAGTTTATATTAAAATTATGGAGGTTCAGCCATGTGTGATGTAGTATGGGCTCAGACATGTTACAAAGAGAACGTGTCTGGATTGCAGGTGACATTTATTTATTTATTTTGCTCAACTCGTGGTCCATGACCAATTGGCACGTAAAGTCACAGGGGTGGTAGCCAACTACGGCAAGAAAAGAATATACATACGGACATGATTAGAAGCAGCTGGGACAAAACAAATGGTGGCCATAACTTGGAAGATTTAATCCCTGACAGTTGCTGGCTAGGGTAGGCTCTCATACTTCATAGCCATCGAAATATTCATCAAAAGAGCAGTTTCGAAAATTTGTTTCTTACTTCCTATTTTATTGTATTCCTGTTAGGACGATGGATACTCTTGGAGTGACATCACTGCCGGCTACACTCTTTGATCCGTTAACTTCACTCGTGAACTTGTAAGTCGTGTAAATCGGCTTGCGGCCACATGTAAGCTATGTATTGTGTATGCATGGAGTACGATGGAAAGTCTTCAGGTGCTCAAAATGTGTCGTGACAGTAGTAGAGTGCATTGAATGCTGTGCATGTGAATCATCTGCTGCAGATACTAGCTTGTTATTGTGTGCTTGCGTTCTTATCTGTTTGTTGATGTATTTGCAGAAGGTTTATCAATCTGATGATCACGGAACTGGAGCCGTTCAGTTTCTCACAGCTGACAGCCTTGGAGAGTGTGTGAGTTCCTATTGATCTGAAGGCCGTTTCCTTGTGCGTAAAAAATACTCCCAGACCCGACCCCTGACAAATATTCGCACATGTCCACCTTGCACAGACAAATGGTAAATAACCTACCCTTCAACTCAACAGTTCATTACATGCGTGCTTGGCCAATTACAGTAAGTTGATGTTTTGCATGAACAGGCACACAGCAAGAAAAATAGCAGGTGGTTTGTTGGAATGTCTGCGGGTCATGATTTCAAGACCTTCTCTTGAAGCATGCTTGCATAATTGCATGCCTGTGTTGATGCGGGAATGCTCAGCTTTACATGTAGTGAGGTGTTTCAGCACTGCTGTCATGGTCAGCTTGACATGTAGTGAAGTGTTTCAGCACTGCTGTCATGGCCAGCTTGGCGCTCTCTTGGACTCGGTTTCTGGGAACCACAGATGCAACCCATTTCCTCGAAACTGCAAATGATAAATCAAGCAATTGGAGAACTTTACCATCTTGTGCACACTTCCTTGTGCTGCAGGACGTTATTCTGTGTACACGTACGTCGTGTGTACCTGGTGTTGGTGCATGCGCGTGTTGCTGTGGTGTGGAAAGCAGTCTTCGTCTTGAGTTCGTCATGTCTAGTTGTGTTTCTGTCGTCTTGTCAAAAAATAGAGTCTTTCAAATGTAGTTATCACGTCGTTCATTGTCTGAGTGTGGAGATGGCACGCGGCTGGAAGCAGGTGGAGAAAGTCCAATACAACAGTACTGTACTAGTACTTTACAGCCTTTATGCGTGTGCGTGTGTGTGCGTGTGTGCGTGCGCGTGTGTGTGTGTGTGTGTCTGTATCTGTGTGAGGCCCAGCATTTTAGCTTCAATATTACTAGGTCTGCAGCAGAGAAATACTTCGTGTTTTTCACCTCAATTCATCGTCGTGTTTCTTGAGCAGTACTTTTCTATGCTATGTTATGATCTGGCAACTGCAGGGAACTCAGAAATTTGGAACTGCCATTGGAGAATGACACATTTGGACTCCTGCCCAGCCTGACCACCCTGTACGTGTGCTGTGTAATTGAATACTAAGTATTTCATGGGCTTCAGTATGTCTAGAGCAACCACAAGAAGAGGTTGAGCTGAAATGGGGAATCAAGTATAAATGATGGCTTCTATATTCTACTAGTATAGAGCAGTGATAAAGTAGCCATGCTACACATGTGCTTCTTAAAAAAATTGATTTGATGGACAGAGGGGGACTGGGTATTTTAGGTTATTAACTTTGCATTTTGCTGCAGAGCGTGTTGTTGTTGTTTATTTATTTCGCAGATTCTAACGGGCAGGTTGCCCAATAACAAGAAAGCGAAGGAAAGCTTTCTGAAGCTTTGAAAGATGTTTTCAGCACCACACTCAATCTGTTTGTAATGGGGTACTAGCTGTGCTAGTACTCGTTAGCAACAATCGGAACTAGCGCACACACAGCACTGCATTGCTTGTACTGCATTCAAGACTGACGCCATGCGCTTTGTTTTGCTGCGTAATCACAAATGGCACCCAGCCCGTTTTGCTGAAAAGAAAAACAAATCTTGCTTGCCCTGTTGTGCTCTTCCAGACAACGGATCGTGCTTCAGCAGTGTTTCTTTTCCTTTCGTAGCTTTGCTGCCAGCCCAGTGTCACCTCGATACTGTATTTCTTCAGCATGTCTGACCTAACTGTCGACACTGTCAAGGCAATGACTTGCCAAGCCCTCCACGGCGAGCTTTCTCAGCGCGGCTTGAATCCGAAAGGAAACTTAGTAAAAGTATTTTACAGGACCGTTTGCTGGCACAGCTAGCCCTTGGTAGTCAGGTCTGCCCCAGCCAGGAGAGCCAGCAACATGACAGTGTGCTATATTACATCCATTTAGCATTGCAGCTCTACATTGAGCTAACAGCAGCTCTACTTTGAGCTAACAGCAGCTCTACTTTGAGCTAACAGCAACTCTACTCTGAGCTATCCGCACCTCTACTTTGAGCTATCCGCAGCTCTACTTTGAGCTAACAGCAGCTCTACCTTGAGCTAACCACAGCTCTACCTTGAGCTAACAGCAGCTCTACCTTGAGCTAACAGCAGCTCTACCTTGAGCTAACAGCAGCTCTACGTTGAGCTTCAAACCAGTTGTTTCGAAACCAGCACTCCTCAATCCAAAGATGCCTCTTTGTTGATTTGTTTGTGTGAGGGATGGGGCTAAAGCATGTTATCTCCAAACAGCTAACTGTTTTGTCCTATTAGGGCAGTGCTCAGTGTGATTTGGTGGCCCAATCTTAATATAGAGGGGACTGGACTGGGATCACAGCGCTGATGTTAATGCGTGTTCTGGTGTTTTTCCCAATGTTATGACATACATGTAGGATCATGAGCAGCGTAAGAACTCCAAGTCTTCCCGCTAACATCTTCTCGCAAATGCCTCAACTAATACAAATGTAAGCAAGGTGTACTTGTGTCTTGTTGTATGGAGCAAGTTAAGCTATTCAATGGCAAATAACATCATCATCATATTGGAGATTATTGTTGCGCACACTAAGGGCGCGTTCGAATTGTCTTCATCAACTATTCAAACAAATTTTATAAAGAGATTAGTTGAAGTGTCCCATTAGAACGGTTTCTATCATTTTAGAGTTTTTCAGTGGAATTGTCATGGCGATGATGACATCCGATCAGATCGACCATCTCCACGTAGTATGTGACGTAGCTATTCCAAACTCTTCGAAACTAATCCACCTCTGCCATCGGGTGAGGTTGTGGAGTTTCGAGGAGTTTCGAGGAGCTTCGTTTTTCTGAAGAGGCCAATAAGGCCACCTCTTCAGAAAAACGAAACTCCTCGAAAAGTCAAAGAGTGACAATTCGAACGCGCCCTAAGTGTTGGTTTAAAAAAAGGACCGTTTGTTCTTTATGTAGAGCAATGAGCTTCGTAGATTCACTTCCACGTAAAAGACGACATCAATAAATAATGTGTGTCTCTGTCAGCAGGCTAATAGATCATGCATTTGGGCTAAACTGAAATGGATGTGAAGTTTTGTCTGCTAAGGAAGCAAGACTTGACCAGGTTCAGACCGACTCGGGAGTGAACCCAGAGGGGTTGGTGTATGATAGGCTACTCTCTCATGGCAAACAATACATATTCCCAAGTGTAGTGAGATGGATCGACGTCGTCAAGAAAGACTTACAATGCATTAATCTCTCGCTTCTGGATGCTGTGCAATCTGCTTCTGATAGAGCTGCTTGGCTCGAAATTGTCAACAGATTCGTTGACCTCATGCAATGAGTGATATGCGAACTGTCATTATTATTATTAGTGACAGTTTAAAGCTATGCTTACGTCTGTTGTACTTCTGTTCTATTACAGAGAACTAAGAGATGTGAATGTGACGTCGCTACCAGGGACGCTATTCGCAGGCAACCCATTCCTTGAACGGTAAGCCTTTGTTGGGGCTCTAACAGTCTACCGTGGAACAATGTGAAGAGATTGTGAATAGGAGAAATGTTGGATAGGGAAATACGGGGGATGTTTGCAGACGACTATGCATGTACTTCATTCATTCCGGATATGTGATTCTACATCAATCACCTTCATATATAGCTTTTCAAGGACGCCTTTCCCGCCACCGCCCCGGCGATCATCCCAGGATTGTGGTGAATAGGTCACATTTCAAAATGCATTGAAAAATCTAACAAATGTGACAGGTTCGTCTCCACCAGCGCTTGGAGCGATTCTGAAGCCTTTTTTGCCCAAGCCACCGAAGGGCTTCCTGGCAACTGCTCTGACTTGACACGAGTGTCGGACATCAAGTGGAGCGCCATTCTACTGCTTCTTTCACCTCCACACATCCATTCCCGTACAAAGTGAACGTGAACTGGGCTTCGCCTGTTCACCAGCGATTCAAAAATTTCTCGCACGTGACCACAAAAAGTGACTGTTGGTACAAAGTTGAAAAAGCTCTATAGTATTCAGTGCAAAGAGGTCAATATATCGAGTCACAAACACCTATAGGCTCAACTGAACCCATCCATTTGAGTTTCGCTGGATGAGGGGTGTGGGGCTGTGGTGAGAAACAACCGGAGTGGGAATCAGTGAGGGCTCTGGGAATGCGACTGGTCACGATCATAGATTTGTAACCAGCATGTGAAGTGCCATACTCCAGGAACTTTGATGAACGTTTTGCTTGGGTGACTGATATTGTGTACAATGTGCAGAATTTTGTTCATCTTCCTGTTGTTATGCTCTTTTGTTGCTGCTGCTGCTTTATGTTCTGCTGTTGCTATTTTATTGTTGTTGATAAAGTGTTACCATCGTTGACCTCCCAGTGACGGAGCTTCCAGGAAACCTATTCGGCAGGAAAGACAACTTGGATGAAGTGTACGTTTCTGTTCAAGTATTGTCAGCACTGCCTCGGGCAGTGTATCGAGGTTTATTGTGATTTTTAACCCTTTGCATGCTGAGCCCCTTTTCTCCAATCCACTGGCTTTCCAGCGCACTGACTCTCTTGGTGGAGTATGCACTCACAGCTCCGAACAAAATATATTCTCATTTCACTCCACAGCGATGGATTTTCATCGTCCTGAGCTCGTTGGAAAGATCAGGACCAAGCGAATCCATCCTGGCGGCTCCCAGCTCCATAGACACATCAGGGCTACTTCCACGTCCTCTCCAAACTACTCCACCGTGCCTCGGAACGGCACAACAACTCAATTTCACATTCTTGTTCGGCTTCTTGCCCAAATTCAACAGATTTTCACAATTTAAACTGCGCTGCAAAGCTCAGATCCAAGCGCTTCATTTGATGTCCATCACGCATGCGCCGTGCCAAAGGGAAATCCCCTGGCACGCTCCTCAACAAAAAGAAGTCATGAACAAAAAAATCGCATTCACTCTGGGCCGTGATTTCCGTGTTCATCTTGTCGCGCTCAATGAATTCTTATCATATCGCAAAGAACTTTATATCCCCGGAAAGATGAGGTCAAGACCTTTCCAACGGTGTATTTATTGTTGCGATGCATTTATGCTTGACGAAGTTACGAAAGTTTGTACACTGGTCTATGCACTGCGATATATCGCGCGAATGTTTTGCGAGTTAACTCGTACGTAGTGGATCAGGTCATGCATAAAGTGCGAGTTAACTCGTAAACAGCACGCGAAGGGTTAAAGCCGTATTCTTTGCAATATTTCAATTTACTACGCTACATGCAAAACAGTCCAAATTATCATGAGAAGCAGGATCAAACAAACAGGAACACATTCGAACTGTACATCAAGCTGTGCGGCTGTCCAAGCCAGCTAATAATACCGTACCATACCGTCGTACACGACTAACGGGTACTTGCTATCTAACGGATCAGCAGCTAAACAGACGGGTATCCGGGTACCCGGATTACCCCTTTCACCCCTACTGTTTTCTATTATCCGCTGGCTTTCTTGTCGTCTGTGCTAAGTTGTCTCCTTCCAAATGAAATCTCTCCATGCTGCAATGCCTGTTTTCCTTACCACAGGGTTTTGATCCTCCTGGATATAGCGTCACTGCCAGAATGTCTCTTCTTTGGGGCTCCGGATATGTCTTCGTAAGTAATATGACAGCTTCATAGCTGATATCATGCATGGATGTGGAATATTTGTTCCTTCTGTATGTCTCTTGAAGTGCAGGTTGGTGTGACCGATGCATGATTCTCAATGGTTCTAATTGTTGTGATGCTCTGTTGTGTTCTGCGGTATTATGTAGGGTTACGATTCAGTCAAGAATAACAGAGCTACCAATTGGTTTTCTGAATCGAGTTGAAAGTCTATCCACTCTGTAAGTATGGTGTTGCCATAAAAGTACATAATGGATGGAATGCAGGTAGTCATTGACAGTTGGTCTGAGACCATGGCTAAGAAACAGAGAATAAGGGGTTTAAATTCTGCTTGAAAGTGGATTGGTTCGCTAAACTAGGCCATGTCCCACCACTAATTGGGAACTCTTGCAAGAGTAGCATGGATATGGCAGATGAAAATTATGTCCTTGGACCACTGTGTGGCGGATCTTATCTTGTCAATGCCCGCTGCTGTAGGACTCTCTAGATATTTCTTTGTCACCTTTGTCAAGAAATACTGACATCAACATGCTTTTCAGAATATGAAAACAAGATGGTGGCAGTGTCAAAGAGTCATGCGCGTTGGACAGGCCGCACACTCTGTCTAATGTCAGTGGAAGTTCCTTAGCAGAATGAGCTCATTTGCCTGATCCATGTTATCTCTGTACTAGGCGACAAATTCCCATTTGACGCAATGGCCGCGGAAAACCTTTTCACTGCCAAACCGTAGTTGAACCCAGCAATATCTCCTGTTTCTCAATCATGGCTTCATGCTATCCTAATATGTCCCTACGTCAGAAAACGCATCTCCACAGAGATTGTCTAAACTATAATTATATGTGGAAGAGAAAAGGACATATGGATACGAGTTAAGAGTAACTCTCCATCACTGTAACATGATACTATATACAGTCAGAAAGTGCAATAACTGGGCACAAAACTGACAGAGTACTGAAACATATATAGTATATAGTATCATGTTACAGTGATGGAGAGTTACTCTTAACTCGTATCCATATGTCCTTTTCTCTTCCACATTTATTTATGGCTCAACATCCGAGTTTCAAACTATAATTATATAGTCAGTATACATGCGTAACCAATGTCCAAGTGAATTATCGTCGGTACTTACATTTTGTGATATAGGAATTCTAAAGCAGCTTGATGAGTAGTGATTTCCACTCGTATCTGCGCTTCTCTCCTTTCCCTCGTGTAGAGATTTGGCGGGTTTACCAAATCTCCAGCGCCTGCGACAGCAATCCTTACCAGCATCGACTGTAGGGTATGTACAAGTCCACATATCTGTTGCTGTCTGCAACTGAGATGACCATCGGTGCCGTATACTCTATTATTGTCACGGCCGTATACTCTATTATTGTCACGGTAGAATGCTAGCCTCTATGTCTCCACACGTACTATCATAAGAAGCCTCTATGTGTTACCATTGATGCAAACCTATCAATCCCAGATTTGTGATTACAAGTATGTTATATTCCAGTTGCTCATTAGAGTTATCACTTCTTTCTGCAGAACAATCAATCTCCCACCCAGTCTTGTAAGCAGCGCTGATGGCTGCGATCTTTCACTGCTGCATTTCCTGCGAGCAACGACCATCAGTCCTCCATTGCCGCTCAATGGATCCAGACCCTGTAAGTTTGAACATCCTACAACATCGAGAGGAGAGGGCTTCACTATCCCGAGAGTGTTCCATTCCCTCCCTACATGTACATGTAGACAGCTTATCCACGCAGAAGGGAGACGTACCTATCCAGTTTACTCTACTAACAAGCTAGACACACCACAGAGGGTCATTGGTTCTAGCAAAGCCTTTCGTCGTTGTCTTTCCACACTCAGGACTAGGATAGGGCTGAGAAAACATTTTACACAAAGCACAGAACTACGAGGTTGCTGACAGCTGCATAAACTAGAACAAGAAGTAAAAACGAACAGGCAGGCGACGATTGGAAGCGGTGACCTGATCTGATCTATTGAGTAATATCGATTATTCAAACAAATTGTGTTATAATAGGTTTTATAGTTATATTAGGGTTTACCGGGTGTTAGCGGCCGTCGGGAGTTAACGTTCCCTTCGGGAACGGACACGATAATCTTTTAATTTAGTTTTTAAACAAATCGTGTGGGTCGGCCAGTGATAGCTGCATCCCACCGGCCTGTGTAATGTGCGGGTAAAGTGAGGGTTGCGTCCCACCATCCTTTGTGTGCGTGGCTACAGTGAGGGCTACATCCCATAAGCCAGTCACGAAGTCTCAAAGGAAGTGTGAATTTTGAAGTCTAATAGAAATGCAGAATGTTCCTTGTTAGGAACAAAGCCACACAGTAGTTCAGTGGTTGGAGCATTGCAAGCCTATAGCAAAGGTGTCTGGTTTGAGTCCTGGTCATTACAATCGTTATTTACAATCATTATATTCTGCAGCTTTCTACCCTTTCCATCCGCTCAATCGAGTATACAGTCACATGAGCTGGTATTTCCCTTTTCAGAAGAACATTCTGGTTTTTATTGCCTTTGGTCTCGTTGATATGATTGTACGTGTGCGTGTGTGTATTGTACTGCTTGGTTGGGCGTGGTATGCATGCATGAATGTGTGTGTGTGTGTGTGTTCAGGTGAAGGAGTCAGCGCCGCACCTGTGGGTTTCGCTCTTACGGGCATGTCGTTTGTTCTGACTTGTTCTCACACTCACCTGGGTGCACCTGCAACGCAATGGTTTGCCGAAGGAGTGCCAATCAGTTCCCCCGAAGCACTCCTCCCAAATTATGTCATCGGCCCCGTGGGTGCCGTTGATCAGGAAATCGCGTACAGCTGCTCTGTCACCGTTGATGGCATGATGATGGTATCCAATACAATTCTTGTCAATGTCGGTAAGAGTTGAGACAGCGCTGATTCTAATCTAGTTTACCTTCACAAAACCCATGAATGTGTATGTGACCAAACATGTACCCTACATTTCCCCAATTCTTGGCCTTACGCATGTCAGAATATAAACTATTTGCCTGCTGGATATACTGTACGGAACAAGCGCCCGCATACCGACTGTAAAGGTCCGTAAATAGACATCTTTTCACCGTGATGATGGTGGGCTAGGCCTGAACAGTTGGTGGAATGGAATGGGCTAGGCCTGAACAGTTGGTGGAATGGAAAGGGCTAGGCCTGAACAGTTGGTGGAATGGAATGGGCTAGGCCTGAACAGTTGGTGGAATGGAAAGTGATCCGCAGTAAAGAGATCGTTCTTCGAGTTGGAGAAGTCGGGAGTGATAAATGAATAAGTAAATGCCAGAAATAAGTACCCCTTCATCCTTTCAACGCTGTCCGTTGACGTCAAGCTTAGCCCGATAGACCGACTGCCCAGAACGTAGCATCATGCCATGCACATGTCCATGTGTATGCTACAGCGTGCACTGGAGAAAATAACTCCTCCCCTTTGCGCAAGCCAGGCCTGATCACACATGACACATTGAGCTGTAGCGTTGGTGTTTGTTTAGTATGTTCCGTGCCACAGAGTGCCACGAGGTGTACTTCTTTACATTACTCTAGAACTTGTTTGAGATGGTCATGGTCTCTATTGACCTGTGCAGTCTTTGCACCACACACTGTCATGCTTTGTGAACTGCAGCTAACGCTAACGCCGGTGGTTTGATCTGTGAAGCAAACTGTCCTTCCGGATTTGAAGGCCCGGGCATAGGGGCATATTGCACAGGTAATATGGCATTCTCTGTGGTTTACCTGGTAATGTACCAGTGGTGCACTGGGTTTTTACTTTTTCCAATTTGTCAAATCAGTTTGCTCTTGTACGCCGAGCCAAGATGCTAGAAATATTCGAGGGAGACAAGCCCGTGAGCCGGAACAAGAGATCCGCACTGGTGTGAAAATGCAGGCATGAGACCATTATTCCACCTTGATGTTTAGAACTTCTATCCTTCACTTACATGAGATGCATTCCCTGCCAAAGTTTAGCAACTTTCCTTTCTGCATTATAATTATAGCATGGCGCACTTCTGTAGTTCTGCACCTGCTTTTGCTGCCAACAGTGACAACAGTGACAACAGTGACCCCCCTGAAAGTGTTCTCTGACCTTGCTGCACTGCTTGCACTGGTATTTCCCTTGGCTTTCCCTACAGCACCGATCTCAGTATTGCTAGCATTACACACATCAGTTCCGACTGCCACACCAGTCACTAATATCTAGGATCACAAGACTCTTTCCCTACTCCCTAAACTTATTTCCACTTACGAAATTCCGACCACCTGAACTATACTTTGCAACACATAGTGTTGCTGCTGTCTGAGTTCAACAAATTAATGGTTTGTTCGTGATGATACTCAATGTTGCAACTGTGTTGCAACATTATTTGACCACATTTCCCTATTTCAGATGTGAATGAGTGCATAGACGAACTGCACCAATGTAATCTTCAAACCACATTGTGCAACAACAGCGTCTCCCCGTTCGAATGCACCTGTCTGCAAGGTTACCGGTTCGTGAATGAAACAGACTGTGAAGGTGAGCATGTGGTGAAGTAGAAAGGACAAAAACACCCAGCGCTGCTGCCGTCCAGGCTAAAATTATTGGTACTTGCAGTGCATGTGCTTTAGCTGCTTAGAAAGCAGTGATAGATCACTATAATTATCCTGCTGCATTGGTATGTGGTTTGATTCAATCCAGCACTTCATGACACTCGATGCAATTTAGTCAAAGTGTTTACCACCAGGAGTGTAGCTGCCCCCCCCCCCCCCCGCCCCTGTTAGGGGGTGCACAGCCGCATATGTGTAGGATGGCTGGTCCATGTCATTCATGGTCATTATATGCATGCTGAACGTAAGTCATGGTGAAAAAAGGAGGACAAAATGTTACGAGTTATGACTAACTGTCCACCAACGTAACCAGATCTTATACAGTCCTTTTTCACCACAATTTAATTGGCTCACCATCCGAGTTAAACTTTGAACGTAGGTCAAATAAATTTTAGGGGGTGCACGTGCCCCCTGTGCCCAGTGCGGGCTATGCGTCTGAGTGTTTTGGTGAGGAGCCCATCAAGGTTCCTAAAGAGATGTGCCTATACACTTGTGTGATTTATATAAAGAAGCAGGATATGAGTCAACCTGGAGAGAAGAATGATCTTACTGACTGAGCCCATTCCACTTGGTTGTTGTGCGCTGCAGATAATGACGAATGCAGCGACCTGTCCCTGTTTCCAGTATGTGCTGACAACGCCGTTTGTTCGAATACAGTCGGCTCGTTCTTCTGCGAATGTCTTCCTGGCTTCACTGGCGACCCCAGTGCTGAATGTCAAGGTATGCATGCACCTCCCCCCCCCCCCTTCTCCAGTGCTGAATGTCAAGGTATGCATGCATACCCTCCCCCCCCCCCTCCAGTGCTGATGGTCAAGGTACAGTGCATACTATTCCCGTGGTACAGAATTCGAGTGCATGATCATGCTAATGACATTAGCATTTTCAACACTGCGTAATCGATGAATGTTACGTTTCACATCTGGGCCAGTTAAACAGATTTTTCTGCATCCCGAGGAAAGCTCAAGGATCAAGGCGCAGGTGGAGACAGCAAAACCGTGCATCACTGATAATGATGATAAAGACTCCATCCGAGTCTATTATTGATAAAGAATGCTTCCTTTCCTTTCTTTTTCCACTATTTCTGCACTGGATGTAGATAAACGTATTCTGCAAGCTCATTATATCCGCCATGAGGATAATGTTAGAGATCACTTGTTTCTTCAAGCTTGGCGGCCAAAGTGTTGCTATAAAAATAGCGACTCGTTACGACAGGAGTTCAAGTCCTAATGATGGCACCAGACTTGAACCTTCACTCGTTTTTGTCCAGAACACCGGAAAAGGCGATGCCAGCCCAAATACCTAATAATTATCTCCTACCCGGGTTCACCATACCCACATGACCAAAGCCAGCTAGCAAAATCCAGATATATACTGGGGGTGAATAATATCTTTGCACTCATTATTAATGGTGTGCTTCTTTGGCAAAAGCTAAAAGTTTACTACGAAAAGTGGAACTCATTTGTATCAGAGTTGAGACTGGTGAAATGTGAATTCATGTTGGGGAAACAAGAGAATACAAAACTCCCTGTTTAGAGTTACTGACTTTGTTTTACTGTTGAACAAGTTGGTGAAAAATTGGTGCATAGGAAATTGCTGGATATGTATGTGCTGGACATTGCTTGTGGGTATGGTGTGCATGTCCATGCTGCTCCCAGATATCAATGAGTGTGAGTCGAACCCGTGTAGGTTTGACTTTGCCTGCAACGACTTCATCAACGGATTCAACTGCAGTTGCCCGGATGGTCTCAATGGGACGTTCTGTGAGAATGGTAAGCAGTATTGGATATGCATTGACCATAATTTCGAACCTCTTCGCAGCTAACGAAATCAACAGGATCTCTTCCCACGACAGTTCATCTGACTATCGGATCTCAAGAAAGACCCATGAAGTGTTTCCGTATCTAATCCGCTTTGATTGTCTGGAATATTTGCACACACGACACCACACAGCATTGCATCCAAATGATCTCCATTTACAACTATTTTTCCTTTTTCGCTTCCCCTCTGTGATAGATGTACAGGACGAGTGTGAGCTGAACATCTGCTTCCCTGGTCGCACAGTGAACTGTACAGATGGTGCATCGGTGTTCAACCTGACCTGCCAGTGCATTCCTCTCATCAGTGGCCAGTTTTGTGAAATAGGTGAGATTTGGGGCTTGGGAACAATTTGACTATGCTCGAGGATCTTCTGATCTTCACAACGCATACCAGAGATTCACTGTGTCAGGAGATGTCAACTGCTCCATTGCTAGACTATACGCGGGTTTCCATGTAGGGAATTGTTTGTGTATTTAAGGACTGAACAGCTGTCTGGTATGCTATGTACTTATGTAGTCGCTTGATTTTTCCCTGCCCACACATCCCCTCAGACTGTAGAGAATTTTCAGAAGTTCACTGACTGAGACTGATGTACAGACTTTGTCAAAATTTCCAAGTCCCCCTCAACGCTACTACCAATTTCTACTTGGAGACTGCATTACTTGACCTTACCCATACAAACAGTGTTATGTTTATCAAAGATGCAAAAGATGCTTGGATTATTGTGTATTGTTGTGGGTTAGCACATGTCAATTGCTAATTATCAAGTGTCTATAAAATGAGTTTCTGGGCCTCTTCATGTTTTTATTGTCACCTGCTTATGTGCAGCTCCGTGCCCGGAACAGTGTGTTTGCAACACAGATGCTGAGGGTATGGTATCTGCTGTCTGCCAGAACCTGACTGCACCGCTTCCCTTCACTCCCGACAGGATCAACAACATGTAAGGTTAAAATGCTTAACGTGTATTTTGTTGGGAATCAAGTTTAAGGGAGAGGTGTGAGGGTGGGGTGTGTGGGGGGGGGGGGGGGGTGATAGAGAGATACTGAATAGGTTTTCAGAAACGAGGAAAATGTTTAAGTACACCAAGCATGAATGTCCCATAAAATAGAAATGGCACAACTGCTGTCTGCTTCCTCGTTGCTTAAAGAGCATTCAAGCAGTTAACCCTTTACCGGTCTACCATAAGCTTACCGATACTATAGTATCGGTACGTTTGGTCCTCATTTTTTGGGGGTCTTGTTGCTAGGAGACAGCTAAAATGGCGCTCTACGCGTAGCTGAGGTCCAAGGCTTTCTGACGATGTGCAAAACAACCATGCTTACCATACAAATTTTTGCCGTATCGATAGACTGAAGTTTGTTGAAATTGGAAAAGACGACCATCCGCCATGCGCGCATTTCATGAATGCGAGTGCATCTCTTGGGGCCGTGTTTGACGAGCGCTCTGAGAGCAGTAACATCACCAGTCCAGGCTGGATGTCCCGGGAGGTTTTGCAGTGTAGTGTGTTGAGAAAAAGAGTTCCGTTGAGTCCTGCTAGTTCAAAAATATATCGTCCACGAATGAAGAAACAAAATTCTCCAAACAGAGAGGAAGCCTTCTTGCTGCCGACACGGCGACAGCGACTGTCACAAGGACTCGTCAGGTGCGATCAGCTGATTCGCCTGACCGCGAGAATCACGGCATGCGTAAGCTCGCGCCTGAGTACTCATCTGAGCGAGAGTGAATCTGACGCGAGCAGCGCTGAGATGAACAAACCGAAACTGCGATATCGTGCAATGGGAATTGCTGCTGCTGGCGTATCGCCGATGGCGAGGTGTTGGTGTTCAATGGCGGTATTGTAGAGAGCCTACATTTCTTGTAAAGACGTAGCCCTTACCTGATTGTTTATCGTACGACTTCAGCTCCATCACGAACTTGGTATGCCTTTCGTGCTGTGATATTCATGTATTTCATTCGCAATTGTATTTTCTCTCAACTTGAAGGGCTACCATGGGCCCTATCCTTGCCTGGACCTAGTCATATTTGAATTTTCTGGCCGTATTCAGGCACACAGATTTTGAAAATATATGGTTTACCCATACCTACATCACATGGTTCTTGAGTTATTGCTGGTTGTGTGTACATGTATTTGCGTGACCACCCCTCACATACATTGAGTTGGACCGGCAAAGGGTTAATGTAATCACTCTGCACATAGAAATTACAAACCTCCATTGTATGACAAAATTGAGGGATAAGCAATATTCCCGGGTGCGTGTAGTAATTCATTCCGCCATGTGCTTTGTCATTGTTTCTTCTGTGTTCGATGTGTCCTATGTGTTCGATGTGTCCTATCCGCTTTTCACCAGATCTATTATCAACAGTCCACTCCTAACGCTATTCGGATTTTTCGACTCTCCCGGAGCTAACCTCACACACCTGTAAGGATGGTTGACATACACTTATGTGCACTGTCTGCTCCAGGGCCGGATCGGTGATCCGGTTGGGGATACGTGCACCCATTTGGAAAAGAATGCTGGGTGACTGGTGACCTGGTTGGGAGTACTCAAGTATACTTGAAAGTTTACTTTCATGGCTAATGCTAGTGTTGGGTACGAAAAGGACGATTACTCTCCAAACACAACGGACAACGGGAACAGTTAGATGGGACGACATTTATTATGGGAGACGAATAGATGGAGATGGAGACGAAGACGAACGAAACGACTACATTGTGGAAGAGCGAAACAAGAGAGAGAGATCAAGTGAGGGCGGCAAGATAAAGGGCCTGGGTAGCTATGGCAAATATGGGCGAGCAAGTAGCTACCCAGGCCAACGGAACAAAAGGTGACAAAAGGAGACAAAAGGTGAGTACGACATAGTATGGGGTGCATGCAGGCCAGCTTGGAAACATGTTGTAGAACGTAAGGGAGGAGGTGCCTAACACTAGTATGGCCCCTCAGTATCCTGAGAGATGTCTTGGCTCACTGTTTTCTTCACTTAGTTGACCCAGGTTTTCTTATCTTTTATCTTTCCTCCCTTTCTATCGTCATCAAATTGGGCGTGATTGTCTGTTTGATTTGCGATGTAAGATATAAACAAATCCAAGTACAAATTACATGTCTACTACCATTTTCGTACCTCAAGGGGAAATACATTGACAGTCTACATTCAGGCGAGTGCAGGCTAAAACGGACACAGTGCCCAGTAGATCTACACACTGCTCAGTCATGTACACCAGGGAGGGAGTCGTAGAATATTTATGACTTCCTGGTGTAGATCTACCTGCAGTAGCCGCACTTGAACGTACCCGGTTCTGACCCGGTTGCAAGAGTTGTGCCAGGTACACGCGTACCTGGTTGTTTTTAAATCCCAGAGTAGATATTGATGTGACGGGATACTAGGATGTTTTTGAATGATGGCACACACCAGGTGGAATTGAAGTTACAAGAGGCACATCTCTGAGTATGTGTGTCTAACTCGGAGATTCCCTCAATTTAGGCTAAGTCCTGTGGAGAATCCATAAAAACAGATACTAATACAAAATACAAAACTGAGTAATTGTGTATTTTCCTATTCTTCTGTTCACTTGTTTGTAAAGGGCTTATACAGACACTGGAATACAGACAGTATCTGATCCCAACGATCTTTCATTGAACAATCTGATTATAGGGTAAGTCAATATTGCTTCTCATTGATCTTAGTAACTGCCGTAAGGATGGTGCAGGGATGTATTCATTTCCAGCTGTATATTCAGGTGATGCAATGTACTCTGTATTGCATGGTGATGTTTGGGAAGCCATGTGGTCTTGGTAACATGTGTGCATGCAGTGGTATTGGTGGCAGGGGTGTATGTAATGGTCTTCCTGGTAGGTATGCCTGCAGTGGTCTTGGTTATAGGTATGCCTGCAGTGGTCTTGGTAATAGGTATGCCTGCAGTGGTCTTGGTTATAGGTATGCCTGCAGTGGTCTTGGTAATAGGTTTGCATGCAGTGGTCTTGGTAATAGGTTTGCATGCAGTGGTCTTGGTAATAGGTTTGCATGCAGTGGTCTTGGTAATAGGTTTGCATGCAGTGGTCTTGGTAATAGGTTTGCATGCAATGGTCTTGGTAACAGGTTTGCATGCAGTGGTTTTGGTAACAGGTGTGAGTGCTGCTGAAAAGGAGCCTTGTCCATTCTCACTCTGTGTCTTTCTGTCATGCAGCAACCTGGCAAGGAACAATCTCTCCAACTTCCTCACGCCACTTGTTCCCAATATCGAGTTTGTTGGTCCTTTTCCAACTGTGATGGTGTTGTAAGTACTGCTAGAAAGAGCTTGGTTTCCTTTCATCATAGTCTTGTGGTCATACTGGCTACCAAAGTGGGTATTTGGTGGGCAGTGGAGATATGATGATGCTTCAATGCCTGGCGTTGCAAATTTCCTGAGCGTTTACTCTGGGAATGTTCTCCGTTTGCTTCACAGGAACTTCGATGAGAACCGTCTGTCTGGATTCCTTCCTGAAGAATTGACTGTGTTCCCCAACCTGCATAGACTGTAAGTGGCGAAGATACACCCTTTTTCTTATGACTGTCCTCGGAATAGGTGTTACGTGACCAGTCTTAGCTATAACCAACAATGTTACAGCCGTGTGAATGGCACTTAGAGTAATAGGCAGGAGTAGTAAGAACAGAACAGAGCAATGGCAAAAGACACCAGTTGCCAGAAGCGTAAAAACAGACTGAGTAAGGAATGCCTGAAATGCCAGCAAAGAGCCAAAACCTAATCTACACATGACGTCACATGCGCATGCGTGGGGCACGCATAAAACAGACGTGTACGTGAACGCAGTACACTTGACAATAGGGGCTCAACCATACCACACAAATGGAATCTTCAATGTATCCTTTTCAATATTCACAGCATTGTTCTGATGTGTAATTGGTTGGTGGACCGTACGAGTTCTTGTTGGTATCCTTCCATGGACAATACCATGGAATGTAATGATATGACTTTGTATAGTCTTTGTTAACGTCAAACCACTAACACACAAACAGTCCTTGGCTACAACAAGCAAAGTGATATCCTCCAAATATTCACCCAAGAGGCTATCATCAGGGATCGACAATGTAGGGAGAAGATATTAAATGGCTAATACAAGACAGCAGCCACGGGGACAGAATGCACATAAAAATTGGAGAAAATCGGTTTCGCGGCATAGCCAAGGAGCGTTTGTGAGTTACAGGTTTGATGTTTATAAAGGTAGCAAGGCAACAGTGGAGCTTCAAACCTCTCAAAAATATTGTACATTCACATTTTAACATCCACATGTGCAGTATTGTGGTGCTCTTATGCTGATAGCTGTACATCTCATATACCATGGTCAGGGATTGCAATGGTAGAACTGATTTCGTTTTCCCATCATTGCTTTTGCTGTTTTCGGTAACCGTTGTTCCATGCAGGACGTTGGCTCGCCAGAGAGTCCCGGTCTCGTTATCTCCACCATTCTTGGTCAACTTGACATCTCTTCTACACGTGTAAGTGGAAGGGCTGATACTCGACTAGAACATATGGAAACGCTGATAACAACATCAACATACCCTTTAGGTGAAGAATACCTGGTGTCATCACTAGCAGGTTATGAATTTGGTGTTCAATGATAAGTATCCCTTAGTCTATCTTCTTATACCGGTAGCGTACGGGACAAAGCAGTCAATTGTTCGGGGGAAATATTCAATTTCATGTACAACTCTTGCTAAATTGTGTGTGCTTACCATTTTCATTTCGTTTGATCTCAACCTCAACCAGGGATTTGTCGGAATGTGGTATAGAACAAGTGCCCAGTGATTTCTTCGAGACATCCAACAATATCGAGGAGCTGTAAGAAGTAGTGTTCATCGTCATGTACCCATATTGCCTGCTTGGACACCTTGTTTGTATAGTGCTTGATGGTCTGACCCCTTCCTCCAGTTTTAAGCCGATTACTACAGATGTATTAGGCCGATTACTACAGATGTATAGGACCATGTGAGGATTTCAATAAAATTCAGATGTTCCATAGAGTTGAGAGAAGCAGAATGGAAATGATGCAACCCGTCTGAGGCAGTGTCGCAATCACACGTGCTTTAGTCTGATATTGGCTGTGTAACTTCCTAGAGTGCATGGAAATATTCTTCTCTCCATCGAAACCCTACTGCAGCATTCTTTGCATTTCATAGCACAGGAGTGATGTGTGCAAACATTGCTAACTCCACGGCATATCTAAAAGTAATACTCCAGGAGAGTGTAGCTTGCAAGTTATCCTCACAGCATGCGTACATGCATTCACTTGCACTCGATCTCCGGGCAGCTAGCTATCTCCATCTTGCATGTTGTGTCTCATCAGCACTGCTCAGAGTTACTGGTGGAACTGATCACCATTTTAAAAGTCTAGTGAACTGCAAAGCATTGGTATTGAGTATTGATGTCCTTACACTTTGTCCTGTGCCTTCAGGCTTCTCGGTGGTAATCGGATCACCTCACTTCCAGATGATGTGTTCAATCCACTTTCCAATTTAGAAACACTGTAAGAAACATGATTGTGTTCCCTGTCCTAGCATGTCCTGATACAGTTCTGGCCAGAGAAATCCGACTCCATGAATATAGTAGCGCCGCGTTCGAGTGCAGAGAACTGCGTTTGTGTACCAGGTGTATTTATAATAAGACTCTGGACTCACTATTCGTATTTCCCCCGCTCCTTCACGATAGCAATGAGGTCCCATCAAGTACAGAAGAGCGCTTGCTCCAGTGGTTCTCTAGTCCGTCTTCTCACTCTTGTCTACACTCTTGTCTAAGTCTAATACTTCTTTTGTATTCCATACCGTAAAACCTTGTGTTCTACGAGTGTGAGGGGACTGCGTCTAGCCAGTAGCTAACACTGGTGGCAGCGGTCAGTTTGACCTTGGATTGATTCTCAGGATATTCTTGTTATGAGAATTCATCCAAGGCACTACAGAAGAGTGCATCCAATGTATTTCTTATACCTGCGTTGTGCTCATTCTCAGGGTACTAAGTGGCAATCTACTCAGAGATCTTCCAAGTGGACTTTTCCTCAATCAAGGACAACTTAAATCCCTGTATGTACTATCACAGATCAACATGTTCAATTGTGCATGGGTATTGCTGGAGTTTTGCACCTTTTGGGGAATTGTGTGTTGCTCCCTACGTGGGAGCTTGTGCTATTCCTGCCGACTTAAATTCTCCCTTGACTGACCCACGACTGCCATCCAGAGCACACGAGAAGTTCATCAAACCTTCCACTCGGCAAACCTGCAAGAAAGCACCACTCCATGCTCAATACACAGTGTTTCGGGGAATTCACCCCTCATCAGTTGAGCTTGAGTAGGCTGAGGAAGATTTTTCCTAAAGAGCACCACTTACATAGTGCTGATATCGCCGAAGTCGCACCAACCTCTTCTTTTCACCTTTTACAGACTATAAATATAATATAGTAACCTCTGATGAGGTCTAATTGATCGGAACAGCTGTCAGAAGGAATTAAAAATATAATGTAGAATTATACTTATGTCAGTGAGTGCATGGGAACAGTGCACCATGCCATCAAGGTCTTCTGGCGTTCTCGGTTTTGCAGGTCGTTGGATCGGAACCACATTACCAGCCTTCCTGCTGAAATTTTCACCGGCCTCACGTCCATGGCCTCTTAGTAAGCCATTCTGTTATATTGATCCCATTGCATTTTAGTCATGGTCTGTGTGTGAGATCGGGCATATGCTCACCTCTATTCTCTGACTATGAATGTGCAAATAAAACAATGAACTTTTCACGCATTCGTTCACACCAGTGGTCTCTTTTGATCGCATCAGCAGCTTTTTGTATTGTATTGTATTAATTTTTATTATTTTACTTGGGCATTCCCAACAGACCCTAAAACGGTCTTCTTACAGGGTGCCCAGCTAATTGAAAAGAGAAAGAAATTGTTTAGTCTCTGCTGAGAATATGCTGGATACCCTGAGAGCAGAGTGTTTCATACATAGAAAAATGAGAAAAGGCTACTTGGAATTTGAGTGCCATCGCCGTATGGCTATCATCAGGCTACTGAGTTCTTGGATGACAATTACACAGACACAACTCCCCGAGCTGCAATACATTCCAAGTGAATTTTCTTCTTCTGCATGCGTGCGCGCGCACGTGTGTGTGTGTTTGCGTGTGTGTGTGTGTGTGTGTGTGTGTGGTGTCAGTGGCTGCCGGCTTAGGAATCATACGTTCAGTCTCCCCCACACTGTATGTATACGCAGACTCCAAGCATTACTCAAAACCAACATTGGTTAGCGTCTGTTTACCCAGCTTGCTTTTCTATCTGCTCCTAACCATATCGGTGTTCTAGTGCTCTGAATGACAACAATATCTCGTCTCTTCCATTTGGACTGTTTCCTGTTCGTGACGACCTCACTATGATGTAAGTAGATGCCTGGCAAATGGTTGTGGACACCAGAATGGGGTATTCCATCGCTGATACCTGCTTTGGGTTTGTTCAAGTATTTGGTTAGAGTTCGGTTTGTTCACTCTTCACTACTGCTGGTTCTTTGTTGTTCCTTTGTATGGGTGAAACGAGTGCCGAAATCGAGGACTCGAGTACTCGTTGAAAAAACGAGCGAGTATTCGAGCGAGTACGAGTATTTTACTGACAACATAAGCAATGCACTGCACACATTCTCGCCACACTAACGTAGTACACCCGATACATGAAGTCTTGCCAAGCACTTCTCACAACTTGTTACTATCAAAAAGCACTGGACTTTCACAAGATTCAGATCTGGAGGTGCTAGTATAGGCCGCAGTAGGCGCACTTGCCTGGGCTGTAAGTACTGGTCAGAGTAATGCTAGTACTAGTACTTGATGTACGTGCATACAATAGTGCATAGTACGCTTAGAGTTTTTTTCGCGAAACGAGTACTCGCTCTTTTCAAATTTTCGAGCGAGTGCTCGAGTATTCGATATACTCGTTTCACCCCTATTCGTAAAATGGCAATAAATAAGATAAATTGTGCACTCATAACAACAGCAAAAATGAAGAAAGTCAAGTTCCATAACGTTTTCTTGTGACTGTCATCAGTGGAACGCCGTCACATAAAAATGTAATAACTAAAACACACACTTATATACATGTAGCTAATATGGTTTCAGGTAGAAATACAGCTGAAACACTGATGACAGTCACAAGAAAACGTTATGGAACTTGACTTTCTTCATTTTTGCTGTTGTTATGAGTGCACAATTTATCTTATTTATTGCCATTTTACGACTATTGTCTCCTCGTCGATCACCCCTATTCCTTTGTCTTTTTACCATTGGATCTTTTCTTTGTTTGACTTTCGCTTTTCTCCTCCTGCGCCCCTACCATAATTTTGAGAACTAGTACTGAGAAGCTAACAGAACGGTACATTGTTGTGTGGAGGGGCCAGGGGGGAGAAGGCAGTCACACAGTTAACCACTGTTTCACATAGTTCTACACCGGCAGCTGATGTTGAAATTCTGTGTGTGTTCCCCCAGAAACCTTGAAAACAACAATCTGAGCGTGCTCAGACTAAACTCGTTCGTCGGAATTGGTGCATATGCGTAAGTGCTCTACAACAAATCACATGTATTAGATTCAACTTTTTCTTTTTCATGCATAGGATCAGCAACAATTAACGAGCTGGTTGGGTTGACTATGTGCAGATGAAGTCCGAAGATGGATGTTTGCTCAAGTGCAATGTATGTATTTAACTTCAATCGCATTTCAATGCACCAGCTTAAAAAATGCTGTCCCGGTTATGTTTCTCTCTTCTTGTAGAAATGATAACGCGATACTGCTAATTCAGATGACAGGGAACCCAATGGACAACTGCGGCTGTGAACGAACGGAACTGGATGAGTTCTCTAACCATGCCACCATTGCTGGTGTAACTCCTTGCCCTATAGTCAACTTTCAACAGGATATCCAATGCAGTAAGGGCTACATGTGTTTTATGAGGGTATACTGAACCAAAACAGGAAAACAAGTACAGAAGAATAAAATGATTTTAGTGTGAACTGCACTGTGCATGTAGTGACCATCCAGGTGACATCAGAGTTTCCACCTCCCTGCCACCTCTAATCAATTATCAGTGCAGTATTGGGTTTGTTTGTTTGTTATTATTATTATTGTCTGAAGAAAATGTTGAACGGCCTCTGCTGGGATGATGACTACACCATAGCTCGGTGGTTAGAGCATCGCTGGCTACAAGCGAGGGTCCCTGGTTCGAGTCCTGGTGGTGACAGTCAATTTTTTCTTCAGACTTTTCCTGTTTGTGTCTTTCCCTCAAACCAGTTAGTATTATTTTCATTATTATTATTTACTTCATCTATGAGTTTGTTATGCTCTCCTTCTCTGTCCCCGAGTACATTACGAGTTCACTATGCTAGCGCAAATATGGTTTCTATTGTCTACTTGTACATGTACATGACACACTGCCTGTGGTGTGATGTGTTTGTTTGCAGATCGCTCCGTGCAGATCGATCCCAGCTCTGTTCTTATTTCCAACACCTCTCGGGGTGCCTTCCTGTCCTGCTTTGGGCCACACGTACAAGTGTCACAGCAATCTGACATTGACTATGATGTGAATTGGCTGTCGACTGCACGTCCAAGCGGGTTTTTCAGTGGCAACTTTCTCTTTGTCTCATCATTTGGCAGGGCAGGTAATGATTTCTGCTTTCTGAATGTACGAGTGTGGAGTCCGGAACCAGAAAAATGATGTGGAATGGGATGGTTATTGGCGGTACCTCCTTAGCCCGTAATTTAGTATTTGAAGGTTGTTCACTTTGTGCATTGTAAGTAGGGACACATATTCCGGTGACATGCCATTTGTGAAGCCCGTAGAAGTCATGCAATTTCAAAAGAGAGCTACAGCAGTTGCTGTTGTTGCATTCTTGAGAGAGCACGAAAGCATGTATTTCACATGTGCGCCTACTTCTGTGGACAGTGCACTTTGAGCTACACACACTGCCGGGCCATGACCAATCTTGGAAAACGATGCCGATTAGGATGGGATAACTGTACAGTGGTTATACACTCTATGCAAGTTGTCAAGGGAGAAATCAATATTTCCGTAGTTCTTTTCAACTAGGATGGCGAGGCTATTGGCTTGCACTATCTGGCTGTATAATATCTGGTTACTTTGGTGGTCAGTTACTCATAACTCGTAACAAAATTGTTTTTGCTCCTATACCTGAGTTTCATGGTCCTTTCCCATTGCCAGAGGTTATGATGATGAGATACATGCTGCCTGGGAGTCTAGTTTGTTGATGTGCTGAAAAAACAAAAACAATTCTGCATGCAAGAGTCTGAAACAAACTAAGAAGGTATTTTCCTTATGGTGTTAATAGTAAAGAAAAAAAGGACCAATGAACTACAAGCTACACTATAATGTCCACTAACACAACCAGTTACTAAACAATCAGCTCATGCAATACCATTGCACAACACTGACCGACGGCACTGACGTTCTACAACTAACTGGCTAACAGCTCTAGCACATCTTGGATGCGCACTCTAACAGCCTTCCAACTTGGAAGGTTCTAAGTTATAGAAAGAACATGTTCCTTGGTCCTTTTTCTTTACTATATTAATGTATCCTTGGCTCTCCATCCGAGTCCAGCCTAATGGTATTGTTTGTATCTCTCTTGTGTAATTTCAGAAACATATACCTGTGAGGTGACCGTCTTGAATGTATCAGGAGCGGCACAGACGCCTCCAACACCGAATGTTGTGATCACGGTCGAAACAAGTCAGGCAGACGTGAACTGTACGTATTGTTTCGGGTGTGCAGAATAAGATGGTCTTCGTTCGGTATGTCTAAATAGTTCAGTTGAATATGTTAACAAAACTGGCTAAGCTGAGTAAGCATATAACTAGGCATTTCTCAACTTTTAACTCCCACAAACTAACAACTTTCCATAAAGTCCGAGGACATTTTAGAGTCTCTCCTGAGGCGTGGGTTTTAGAGTCCCACTGCTGCCACCACTGATTTAATTGGCCTTTTCTTACTGATCACAGCCCCGTGTCATCCTTGAGCTCAGACGATTGAGGACAGTACTACACACAGTGTAACTGGACATGGCAAACTCAAGACGAAGATTGATTTGCCACACAATACCCACATGCACATGTGCCTGCAGCACTACAACAATAACAATGGCCAGCATGAAAAGTACAAACATCTCTTGGATCAAGGCCCAAAAGACAACAAAAACAGCGGCGATCTCTCAGAGAAAACCCAGCAACGTATTTGCACAGGAGAAGATCCCTCCAGACTTCTCGCTATTCGTTCACACACACACACACACACACATACACACATACTTACACACACATTGCTATAATAGCTTGAAACTTGAAAAACAACTGAACTTTTTCCGGAGGAATTGCTTTGCTAAAGTACAATCCATTGCCCCCACCCCCCACCCCACCCCCTGTGTCTACAGTGATCCACCAGTTCCTCTGATAGGGGGCATGGAGGGTTTTCTAGGACAGAACACATAGTGTGAAGTAGTCTAGGTGTTACATACCTATGTTGTCCACACTCAGAGTGAGTTGTGTCGGCTGGAAAGAGTGCTCGAGGCACATCGGAGCAGAGCCTTACACATGCAAAGGGAAGTGGTTCGGTCTGATGGTGCTGTCTGATGATCTCTAGTGCGTGAAACTCCGAGAGACAGGAGTAAAACTTCTGATGTCTGTCTACGTTGTGTGTGTGTGTGTGTGCGCGCGCACGCGCGTGCGTGTGTGTGTGTGTTTAGTCTTCGGTCAGAATGATCCGGATGCCACCGTTCTCCTGTGTCCCGATGGTTATGCGGGAGGAAGTGGTCTGTGTCTGGGTGAGTGTAAATGACTTAGTACATCTGTGAATTGTCACACCGTTTTGCTTTTGAGTCATTTCAGTGATTAATGAAGCATATGTTGGTTCCCAATACTATCCACATTTTCAATGTTTTTCTAGACCTACATGTACATGTATTTTACTCTTCTCCGATTCCAGACGTCGATGAGTGTATGGAGATGTTGCACACCTGCAACTTGGATACAACAACCTGCACAAACACTGTCGGATCATTCAATTGCTCTTGCTTGTCTGGCCATCAAGAACTTAACGCCAATCGATGTGAAGGTAAAATTGGTGACATGGCACACTGATGAAGCGATTGATATTGATAAACAGACCGCAAGCTGCTGCTTACCCTTTGATGGCGGAATGATGATACTGCATAACATGTAATTTTAGGTGGAGTATAATTTCGGTGTCAGTGACCTGCCAGGTTTCAGGTGTAATGTAGAAATAGGTGACCAGCGTTTCCTGTACATCCAGTGCCTACTCCAGTGCCATTTAAATGTAATCTAAAATAGGTGCCTGGTTTCTCGAGCGAAATTACCGAATTTTAAGTTACACCGACAATAACATGCAATGAGGATACAGAAAAACCTGTCAAGGCGACCACTCGGATAAGGCGACCACCTGTCCTAGAAGACCATAGAAACCAGGACCGAGGGATGCTATTTCCAGTCAAATGTCCCTGGATAAGGAGACCACCTGATAACAGAGACCACCTTGTGAAGGTCCCTTGAGCGGTCGTCTTGGACAGGTTTCACTGTACGTCGTCAATACCATTGCTACCACAAAACGCGCAGTGAAGTTGTATTTCTCAACGGTGACATCTGGCTGCGGCCAACCACCCTTCGATTCGTGGGCTGTTGCAAGTAGTGTCTATGCCAGTACAAGTGGAGCGAGAAGGGTATTATTTCACTCATTCATTCACTCAATAAACTGTTGGCTTTTAGAGCGCATGGAGGAGGAGAGTTAGTTTCTTGTATCATTCATTCACTCAATCAATCAATCTGTACAGCTAAATCTGCTTCAACATGTTCAGGTCTAACCTCAATGTTATCACTTACAATAATCTCAGCTACATATAGATATTGTTTGGCTTCCTGTACAAGGGTAACACGCAGCCATTTAGTAAATTTTCGCTGGTAAATACTTCAGTGTGTATTCTCACAGAACGTCTATTGGTGGAAGTATGAGGATTTAGAATCACTCCATAATTGTTATAGTGCTTTGCAATGAATTTATCTTTGTGTGTGTGTGTGTGTGTGTGTGTGTATGTGTATGTATGTGTGTGTGTATGTGTGTGTGTGTGTGTGTGTGTGTGTGTTCTGCCTGTAGATATTGATGAATGCAGTACATCACCATGCGATGCTAATGCTAACTGTACAAATAACATTGGCTCATTCACATGTGCTTGCGACCAAGGATTCTCTGGTGATGGCTTCACGTGCGCTGGTAAGTAATAATGCGCTGTATAAAATTGATCGGTGGTGATGATATCCAGGAACTTGGCATTCCCACGGCTGCCAAAATGTCCAAATTTTCCTTCACTAGAACACCATGCAGATAAATTATAGTTGGTCAATATTTCAGTCTGTTTTCTCACAGAATGAATGAGGATTTAGAATCAATTCAAAATGGCTATAGTGCTTTGCAATGAATTTCCCTTTGTGTGTGTTCTGCCTGTAGATATTGATGAATGCAGTGCATCACCATGCAATGCCAATGCTAACTGCACAAATAGCATTGGCTCATTCACATGTGCTTGCAACCAAGGATTCTCTGGTGATGGCTTTACGTGCGCTGGTAAGTAATCATGCGCTGTAAAAAACTGAGCGGTGGTGATGGTATAGAGGCAATTTTGCGTTCTCACTGCTGCCGAAATGTCCAATTTCTTGGACAGAGTCCGATTTTCTAAGGCTTTTCCGAATACCGGTCAGAAAAAGGATCCGTCCGAGAACAGGAAAAAGGCCAGGGGTGAGTGCAGGCCTGGGTCAGTATATGCTTCCTCCGTATAAATAAACTTCGTGCCTTTTATTCAACGGTGTCTTTGAGCGAGAACCTACTCAACGAACCGCGCCAAAGGCTGTCATCGACAACCCACATTCATGTCGAGGTAAGTTTGGTTGATCCCGAACAGATTCTGCACGGAAGCCATACGAGTAAGGACGTTGCCGACAGGAAATCACAAGTCAATTGGAAAAAAAACCTACCACTTACTTGCTCGAAACTGACAGAGTGACGAATTGGAGCTCGCGGCTGGAACACAGAGCCACGTGGCACTCGCTGCCCTGAAGATGGCCACACTCGTAGGTCTACTTACGGTGCATGGTCGCTTGTTCCGCTCGCGCACGGCAATATAAAACATTTCAGTCGTGGTGCAGCCAGCCCAGACTCCGGATCGGAATTTCGACGATCTGGCTTTCTTTGCCTCTCACCAGTCAGACGTCTCCTTTGTCGCGAAGGGACCTCCTCAAAGCCGTTGTAGAATGCTGGGAGGAGTATCCTGCCGAGAAAATGCGAAGCGTGTGGATGTGCTTGTGCAGATCGTTTCACAGAATAGTGGAGGTTGCGGGCTGGAACGCCTGAATAGTCGACACCAATTCGTACGCAGCTCTGGGGATGAAGAGGACATAGCCAGTGTGCCGCGTAGGATCATCACTGCCGCTGACAAGAAGCTGAATGAAATGCGAGCGGAAGCAGCAACTGTTGGCGATGCGGAGTCAGCGTCGTCAGGTGACAATGACACGAGCGACGAAAACTCTGAATAAACTCAATCTCATTCATCTGAGTTGCTTTTTTTTTCTTTGTATATAGCTCCCAAACAGGTTAAACAATGCCACGAGTGTTATTCCAAGTCAAACGGAAAAATTCCAGAGCTGTGTGCAGCCTGCCAAAAAGAGTCACGATGTTTTTGTATACGGAGTAAGTATGTAGTAGTATATCTCACCGGTCACATCTGCCTTCGACCAGCCACCCTTCAGGTTGTGTGCTTTGGCAATTGGTGATGTCACTCTGTATGTCAGTACATATAGAGTGAGAATGGGTATCCTTTCATTCATTCCCTCAATCAACATGTTCAGCTAAAACTTCTTCAACATTTCAGCTCTATCCTCTATGATATCTCTTCCAATAATCCCAGTTTTGCTTTGTGTGCTAGAGCTATAAGCAGCACTTTCATAAATTTAAGCAGGTCAATACTTCAGTCTGCATTCTCACAGAACCTCTATTGGTGGAAGTATGAGTATTTAGAATCACTCCATAATGGCTATAGTGCTTTGCAATGAATTTCTGTGTGTGTGTGTGTGTGTGTGTGTGTGTGTGTGTGTGTGTGTGTGCCACCTTTGTTGGTTTCAGGGTTCATATACTTTCTATTTGAAGTATACATACCTGTTAACCATGGGCTACTTCTGGCTAGATTAACTCTTGTGTAATCATGGTGCTAGTGAAGCTTGTATCAGATCCACTCTGATTTGGCCACCCACCCTAGTAGCAAGTATTACCTTCACTGGGGGCAGGGGTAACTGCAGTTGGATCCCGGGACGGATACCCTGATGCCGTCAATCCTTTTTCTGCACCTTGTCCTCACCCACTTACTGAGGTGTGGTGAGCCCATAAGTGGGATCGTTTTCAAGTCCACCCAGAGTTTCGGGGATTTCAGGGGATGTCGGCCGTTGGGCGGTTCAATAGCCAATTGAGTCATCTTTCCAAGACTCCTTTTGAGTCTCTCTCCCCTCTCCCGGGGAGACCCACGTGACCAGTTTTGGCAGTGAGCAACAAATACAAGTGTGTGTGTGTGTGTCTGTGTGTCTGTGTGTCTGTGTGTGTGTGTGTGTGTGCGTGTGTGTGTGTATGTGTGTGTGTGTGTGTGTGTGTGTGTGTGTGTGTGTGTGTGTTCTGCCTGTAGATATTAATGAATGCAGTACATCACCATGCGATACCAATGCTAACTGTACCAATAGCATTGGCTCATTCACATGTGCTTGCAACACAGGATTCTCTGGTGATGGCTTTACGTGCGCTGGTAAGTAATCATTATTGTACCCGGGTGGTCCTCTTTTCTTCTTATAAATCATTATTGTTTTAAGCCTTTCCGCATTCACATCACCAAGCAAGCTTGGCTGGTCTAAGCTTAAGCCAAATCATATGAAGAATGAGGAATGAGAGGGGTGAGTAATAATGCACTGTATAAAATTGGCCTCCGGTGATGGTATAGAGGCACTTGGCATTCCCAGTGCTGCCAAGCCATCCGATTTTCCGGACAGTGTCCAGTTTTTTGAAGGCTTTACCGAGTACTGGTGAGAAAATGGATACATCCTAAAAACAGGGGTAAGTGGAGGCCCAGAGCCAGCTCCTGATGGCTGGTACAGCCCCAGGTCATCCGCAGGGGCAACCATTAGTAGGCATACCCTATGCCCAAATTCCGCCTCTTAGAAGGATGAACCACGAGCTCTATGCTATTTTACATTGTATCTGGCTGGCTCAGCTCCAGATTCAGCGTGCAAAAGATACACAGTTAGTAGAGCAGGCCTTACTGGAGGAATAGAACAGTTCAGGAGTGAGGAACTCTAGCGAGGGTGTACAAGATTAGCCTACAATTACCGTAAAGTACCGCCAGATCACCCAGTCTCGCGAGAGCGCCCCACCTTGATTTTACAGCCAGGGAAAGGAAAATCGTATGGCAGAGTGCAACGAATTTTGTAGGGCCTGTACGACGTGAGACCCTTGGTACACTAAGGTCACACTTGGTAGGTTTTTGTGTGGAGCTCGTATCCGCTTGAAGGTAAATTGAGTACGGATTGACTGCATAACATGTAATATGTGTACAAGGTTCGTGTCGTATGACCTACAGCCAGGAGATCACCTCCACAGTACGACCACAAAAGGACGAGATGGTGGGGCGCTCTGGCGGTACTTTACGGTAGTACCCTGAAGTAGTATTTTATTTCCCTTGCCGCATCTCGCTCCAGACAACTACCCTTCAATTTGTGTACTAAAAATAATAAGCTGCTCTTTAGTAAATTTTACCAGGTCATTATTTAAGTCTGCATTCTCACAGAACCTCTATTGGTGGAAGTATGAGTATTTAGAATCACTCCATAATGGCTATATTGCTTTGCAATGAAGTTCTCTTTGTATGTATGTATGTGTGTTCTGCCTGTAGATATTGATGAATGCAGTGCATCACCATGCAATGCCAATGCTAACTGTACAAATAGCATTGGCTCATTCACATGTGCTTGCAACCAAGGATTCTCTGGTGATGGCCTTACGTGCGCTGGTAAATAAAAATTTTGTTATTACGGAAATGCACTTGCACTGTGGGTTCAAACTGGGACATGGACAATTGTTCGCTATATCACAAAATCCGCTATATGCGAGTTTGTCCTAAGTGGAGTCAACTATATACCTATTTTCTCTAGTTGCCACACTTCACCTTGTGAGCATACTGCACATACGGGTGCAGAGAAGTAATACATTCGGAGTCAATGTTTAATGCTTTCAGGCTGCATACAAGATAACAGGCTGTACATATTATGATATGACGTCCTGGTACTTCAACAGCATCTTCCACACGTCATACTTTGTAAACTGCTGCACAGGAAACAGGGTGTAAGGGGGGGGGGCATATCTGGAAATATCAGGAGATAATACAATTGTTTGATTACGGAGTAGAATAGGTAGTCATTCTTTCACTCGATCAACGTGTTCACCTAAATCTTCTTCAACACTTGACGTCTCAGATCTAACCTCTATGGTATCACTTTCAATAATTTTATTTTGATATTGTCTGGCTTCCCTCACTAGAGCACCAAGCAGGTAAATTTTAGCTGTCCAATATTTCAGTCTGTATTCTCACAGAACCTCTATTGATGGAAGTATGAGTATTTAGAATCACTCCATAATGGCTATAGTGCTTTTCAATGAATTTGAATTTCCCTTTTTGCGTGTATTCTGCCTATAGATATCAATGAATGCAGTACATCACCATGCGATGCCAATGCTAACTGTACAAATAGCATTGGCTCATTCACATGTGCTTGCAACACAGGATTCTCTGGTGATGGCTTTACGTGCGCTGGTAAGTAATAATGTGCTGTAAAAAATTGATCTGTGGTGATGGTATACATGTAGAAGCAATCTGGCATTCCCAGTGCTGGCAAGATGTCCAATTTTTCGGACCCAGTCCGATATGTGAAGGCTTTTCCGAGAACTGGTCAAAAAAATACTGGTCACAAAAAACTGGTCAGAAACACAATAAAAACCCGGGGTACGTACCTGCCCGGGTCAGCATAGTTGTTTTTCTCGCCGATCATATCTGACTTCGACTTTCTCCAACTTTTGAAGGCATTTCCGAATACTTGTCAGAAAAAGGATACGTCCGAAAAACAGGTTAAATGCCTGGGTTAGTACCGGCCCGGAACCAGCTACGGAGAGTGAGAGATGGTACGGGCCCAAGTCATCTACAGGATCGATCATTAGTAGACATTGCCCTATGCCCAATGTCAGCCTCTTGGGACGATGAACCTCTAGCTCACTCCATAATGGCTATAGTGCTTTGCAATGAATTTCTCTTGGTGTATATGTGTGTGTTCTGCCTGTAGATATTGATGAATGCAGTACATCACCATGCGATGCCAATGCTAACTGTACAAATAGCATTGGCTCATTCACATGTGCTTGCAACACAGGATTCTCTGGTGATGGCTTCACGTGCGCTGGTAAGCAATAATGCGTTGTATAAAATTGATCTGTGGTGATGGTATCCAGGCACTTGGCAGTTTGTGCCTTTTTGTCGCACTCGCTGACTGTATAATTATGATCTGGTGATGTTGGTGGACAGTTTGTCAAAACTCATAACATTTTGTCCGTTCCTTTAATCCCTGAATAGGGAGTAAAATAGTCTATTTTATAGAGTGAGAAAATAAGTATTCATTTATTCACTCAATCAACGTGTTCAGCTAAATCTGCTTCAGTACTTCAGGTCTCAGGTCTAACCTCAATGGCATCACTTCTAATAATGTTACTTAGACATTGTCTGGCTAACTGTAATTTTTAGCAGATCATTATTTCAGTCTGTATTCTCACAGAGCCTCTATTGGTAGAAGTATGAGTATTTAAAATCACTCCATAATGGCTAGAGTGCTTTATAATGAATTTCTCTTTGTGTGTGTATGTGTATGTATATGTGTGTGTATTCTGCCTGTAGATATTGATGAATGCAGTACATCACCATGCAATGCCAATGCTAACTGTACCAATAGCATTGGCTCATTCACATGTGCTTGCAACACAGGATTCTCTGGAGATGGCTTTACGTGCGCTGGTAAGTAATAATGCACTGTATAAAATTGATCTGTGGTGATGGTATACATGAAGAGGCACTTTGGCATTCCCAGTGCTGGCAAGATGTCCAATGTTTTGGACAGAGTCCGATTTTTGAAGGCTTTTCCGAATACTGGTCAGACAATGGATACGTCGGAAAACAGGATAAATGCCAGGGTAAATATAGGATAAATGCCAGGGTAAATATAGGATAAATGCCAGGGTAAATATAGGCCCGGGTCAGAATACATGTAGAAGTATTTTTCACTAGTCACATCTGCCTTCGACCAACCACCCTTCAATTTGTGCGCATTGGCAATTGGTGTAAATGTCTCTCTGTATGTCAGTACATATGGAGAGATAATGAGTATTCATTCATTCATTCATTCATTCATTCAATCAATCTACATTTGCTGTGAAACCTGATTCAGCATTTCAGCTCTAACCTCATTGGTATCACTGCCAATAATCCCAGTTTCGCTGCCTGTGCTTGAGCAATGAGCAGCTCTTTAATAATGCTGCTTGTGGCTCGAAACGTCATGCCGCTGTTAGCTTGATTATCGATTGATCCGTTTGAACATTACCTTATTCGTAGCATTGCTAAATTTATCCATGTTAATCATGTCGTTTCCCTGTCCCAAATCTGACGGTCCTTTTCCCTCAAGTTTCAACCGGCCCTAGGACAACAAGAAGCTCTTTTAATGCTGCTATTGCAATATCTAAATTCCGGACGACTGACGGTGTCAATTCCTTTTCAAATCGTGCTGCACTGTTCTTTAATTATTTGCCTGTGGAGTGGCGCACCCAGCACCGCACTACATTTGCTAAGCACCTTCAGACCATGCTAAAAGACGCAGCGTCTTTTCAGAAGTATTTTGATCTTCTTTTCAGCAACGCCCTCATTGATCTGCATCGCCTGTATTGTATAACTGTGTTTACTGTGTTCCTAGTTTAAATTCGTTTTTAAAAACATCTCTTTAATTCTTGCCTTATCCCATTAGGACCATGCTTAACCCTTTATGTACTGAAAAATTGTACACAGACTGAATTTGATCTCGACTCACCTCAAATTCTATAATTATCCGGGTCATAACTTTAGTCTCCTTTTGACGATTTTTTCAATCTTGGCCTTCCTGGAAAGCTTGTCGCAAGAGGAACACATTGAGCCCACGCTTGCCACCATGAAGGTCAAAACGCCAGCGCTACAGCCCAGCGTCTTAGCTGCAATGCCAATATTCCGACAGAAGTCGTCTTGCATCAGCCATTTCGCTCTCCATGCTCGTAACAACTAATGCTACAGTCACACCTCGTTAGGACGAACTTCAAGGGTCTGAACGAATTTGTTTGTCTTATCGGGAGTTCTTCTTATCCAGATCTGACAAAAAATCGATATGCATATCAGATGGATTGTATTTACGTGAAGGTGCATGCTGTGGTACATGGGAAGCATGTTATTCTTAGCATAAGCCAGAAACAGGTAAGTACAATGACACAGTGCAATGAATCACGACTGTGTCGAAAGTTCGTACAACGCACTGATTGATTTGTTCAAAACACGCTTGAAAACAATTTGCACTGTACGTACAATATGACCTAGACTATTGAAAAAAAGAAGAAGAAAAAAGGCAGCCAGCGCACGCGCACGCTCGTGGACCGAAAGTTCGTACTACATGTACATGACCACACTGACTTTGTTCAAATCACACTTGAAAATAGTTCGTCTTCGTGAAAGTTCGCTGTACAGAAGTTCGTCGTAAACGAATAATTTTGACTTGAATTGATGCCTGGCCAACCATAGGATTGGCCTTAGTTCGTACTAATGGAAAGTTCGCCTTATCAGTGTTCGTCCTAACGAGGTTTGACTGTACTTCCAAAAATATTCACAAACTGCCATGAGTCCGTTTACCATTTTGAACGTGTTTCTACCGTAATTCTACGTCACTGCATGCCCAGAATGATGGGGAAATCCCTCATTCAAATTTGCCCGAGCGGCTATTGAGCGACATTTGCCGCGATTCGACTTTCGAGCTTCGTAACTCTGGAACCACACATCGGAGCGCTTCAGCGATAGCTTCAATGGACAGCTGGGAGTTTTCTCTTTGACCTACATATTTTAGTTTTCGGATATAACCCAGGAATGACTGAGTTACGAGCGATTGAAATTTTGAAAAGTTTCGATCCCCTGTTGTACAGTTCGTACACAAAGGCTTAAAGACAGAAGTATTTTGATCTTCTTTTCAGCAAACCGCCTCATTGATCTGCATCGCTTGTATTGTAAACCTGTGTTTACTGCTTAATGCTGCTTTATTGTTCCAAGTATCAGTTAAGTTTAGTTTAAATATCTCTTATTATTATTATTTTTTCTCACCCCACACCCCTCTACTCTGTTATCGGCGCTCTTAAGAGTTGTGTTCATCACTGTTGAGGTTTCCGATGGAAAATAAAAGAATACTACTACTACTACTGACTGGTTTGAGGGAAAGAGACAAACGGGAAAAGTCTGAAGAAAATATTGACTGTCACCACCAGGACTCGAACCAGGAACCCTCGCTTGTAGCCAGCGATGCTCTAACCACTGAGCTATGGTGTAGTCGTCATCCCAGCAGAGGCCGTTCAACATTTTCTTCAGACTTCGTAACTCACACTTCCTACTACTACTAATAAATTTAAGCAGGTAAATACTTCAGTCTGAATTGTCACAGAACCTCTATTGGTGGAAGTATGAGGATTTAGAATCACTTCATAATGGCTATAGTGCTTTTCAATGAATTTCTCTTTGGGTGTGTGTGTGTTCTGCCTGTAGATATTGATGAATGCAGTGCATCACCATGCGATACCAATGCTAACTGTACCAATAGCATTGGCTCATTCACATGTGCTTGCAACCAAGGATTCTCTGGTGATGGCTTCACGTGCAATGGTAAGTAATCATTATTGTGCTTGGTTTGTCCTCTTTTCTTCTTATAAATCATTATTTTTATAAGCTTTTTCGCGTTCCTATCACCAAGCAAGCTTGGCTGGTTTTAGCTTCAGCCAAATCGTATGAAGAATGAGGAATGAGAGGGGTAAGTAATAATGCGCTGTATAAAATTGATCTGTGGTGATGGTATAGAGGCACTTGGCATTCGCAGTAGTGCCAAGCCATCCGATTTTCAGGACAGTGTCGAGTTTTGGAAGGCTTTAACGAATTCTGGTCAGAAAATGGATACGTCCTAAAAACAGGATAAATGCCAGGGGTAAGTGCATTCAGCCTCTTGGATGGATGAGCCTCTAGCTCTATGCTATTCTACATTGTATCTGGCTGGCTCAGCTACATATTCAGCATGCAAAAGATATACAGTTAGTAGAGCAGGCCTTACTGGAGGAATAGAACAATTCAGGAGTGAGGAACTCTAGCAAGGGTGTACAAGATTAGCCTAAAATTACTGTAAACTACCGCCAGAGCGCTCCGTCTTGCAAGAGCGCCCCACCTTGATTTTACAGAAAGGGAAAGGAAAATCGTATGGCAGATTGCAACGAATTTTGTACGGCCTGTACGACGTGAGACCCTTGGTATACTAAGGTCCCACTTGGTAGGTTTTTGTGTGGAGCTCGTATCCGCTTGAAGGTAAATAAAGCCAAACAACAACAACAACAACAACAACAACAACAAGGTAAATTGAGTACGGATTGACTGCATAATATGTAATATGTGTACAAGGTTCGTGTCGTATGACCTACAGCCAGGAGATCACCTCCACAGTACGACCACAAAAGGACGAGATGGTGGGGCGCTCTGGCGGGACTTTATGGTAGTACCCTGAAGTAATATTTTATTTCCCTGGCCGCATCTCGCTCCAGCCACCTACCCTTCAATTTGTGTACTAAAAATAATAAGCTGCTCTTTAGTAAATTTTACCAGGTCATTATTTCAGTCTGTATTCTCACAGTAGCACCTCTATTGGTAGAAGTATGAGTATTTAGATTCACTCCATAATGGCTACAGTGCTTTGCAATGAATTTCTGTGTGTGTGTGTGTGTGTATTCTGCCTATAGATATTGATGAATGCAGTACATCACCATGCGATACCAATGCTAACTGTACAAATAGCATTGGCTCATTCACATGTGCTTGCAACACAGGATTCTCTGGTGATGGCCTTACGTGCGCTGGTAAATATAAATGTGCTGTAATTGATCGGTGGTGATGGTATCCGGGCACTTTGCATTCCCACTGCTGCCAAACTGTCCAATTTTTTGGGCAATGTCACATACTTCTTATGTAGGCTTTTCTGAAAACAGGTTTCTGAAAACAGCTAAAATGCCAGGGGTCCATACTTATCCCCCCGCAGTAATCCTGAAATTCAATGAACTACAGTCAGCTCCTGATATAACGAACACCATACATGTAGTGCCAGGAGAATAAGTTCTTTATAGCCTAATTTTGTTATAACAGAATTGCACTTGCACTGTGGGTTCAAACTGGGACATGGACAACTGTACGCTATATCACAAAATCCGCTATATGCGAGTTTGTTCTAAGTGAAGTCGACTATATACCTATTTTCTCTAGTTGCCACACTTCACTTTGTGAGCATACTGCACCTAATAGTGTAGAGAAGTAATACATGCAGGGTCAACGTTTACATGCTTTCAGGCTGCATACAAGATAACAGGCTGTACAATATTGCGATATGACGTCCTGGTACTTCAACAGCATCTTCCACACATCATACTTTGTAAACTGCTGCACAGGAAACGGGGCATAAGGGGAGAGGGGGAGAGAGAACATATCTGGAAATATCAGTGACAATTTTTGGATTACGGAGTAGAATACCGTATTTCCTCGATTAATAGACCTGGTCTTTTGTTTTTTGAAGAGGGTTGGACCCCGGTCTCTTATTTGGGCATGGTCCATTATTTGAGCACGGTCCACTATATTTTCATCGGCACATCGCTGGAAATGGTGGATTTTTAACACGTCATAATATAGAAGTTCTATATTATGACGTGTGAAAAATCCACCATTTCCAGCGATGTGCCGATGAAAATATAGTGGGCCGTGCTCAAATAATGAAAGAAAGCACTAGCCACTACAAAAATTGTAGTTGCGCAACCTAAAGTCGCGTCCTTTTTTGATCCACCACGTGCTTTCTTAGTGCGCATACGCAAAGCGATGAGCTCAAATAAGAGATCGAGTCTCTTATTCGGGCATGGTCTACTATTTTTCCGTGAGGCCTCTAGGAGGTTCTACTATTTGAGCATGGTCTATTATTCGAGCATGGTCCATTAATCGAGGAAATACGGTAGTCTTTATATATGTAGAGTGAGAATAGGTAGTCATTCTTTCACTCAATCAACGTGTTCACCTAAATCTTCTTCAACACTTTAGTTCTCAGATCTAACCTCTATGGTATCACTTTCAATAATTTTATTTCGATATTGTCTGGCTTCCCTCCTTAGAGCACCATGCAGGTAAATTTTAGCTCGCCGATATTTCAGTCTGTATTCTCACAGAACCTCTATTGATGGAAGTATGAGTATTTAGAATCACTCCACAATGGCTATAGTGCTTTGCAATGAATTTCCCTTTGTGTGTGTGTGTGTGTGTGTGTGTGTATGTGTGTGTGTGTGTGTATGTGTGTGTGTTCTGCCTGTAGATATTGATGAATGCAGTGCATCACCATGCGATGCCAATGCTAACTGTACAAATAGCATTGGCTCATTCACATGTGCTTGCAACACAGGATTCTCTGGGGATGGCTTTACGTGCGCTGGTAAGTAATAATGTGCTGTAAAAAATTGATCTGTGGTGATGGTATACATGTAGAAGCAATCTGGCATTCCCAGTGATGGCAAGATGTCCAATTTTTCGGACAGAGTCCGATATGTGAAGGCTTTTCCGAGAACTGGTCAAAAAAATACTGGTCAGAAACACAGGATAAAAACCCGGGGTACGTACCTTCCCGGGTCAGCATAGTTGTTTTTCTCGCCGATCACATCTGACTTCGACTTTCTCCAACTTTTGAAGGCATTTCCGAATACTTGTCAGAAAAAGGATACGTCCGAAAAACAGGTTAAATGCCTGGGTTAGTACCGGCCCGGAACCAGCTACTGAGAGTGAGAGATGGTACGGGCCCAGGTCATCTACAGGATCGATCATTAGTAGACATTGCCCTATGCCCAATGTCAGCCTCTTGGGCCGATGAACCTCTAGCTCTGTGCTATTCTACATTGTAACTTTTATATCTGGCTGGCTAAGCTACAGATTTAGCTTGCAAAAGATGTACAGCTAGTAGGAGGGAGGAAAAGAACAGTTCAGGAGTGAGGGACTCTAGCGAGGGTGTACACGATTAGCCTACAATTGGTAAAAATTGATACGGCCATGACCGTACCCGCCTCACCAGTGGCGCTGGCCCTGAAGTGCAATTGTATTTCTCGGCGGTCACATCTGGCTGCGGCCAACTACCCTTCTACTTGTGTACTGTTGCAATTGTTTACGGCTCTCTGTACGCCAGTATACATATATGTGGAGTGAGAATGGGTATTCTTTCATTCATTCATCCACTCAATTTGAATCAACTTGCACAGCTAAACCTGCTTCAACATTTCAGCTTTAATCTCAATGGTATCACTTCCAATAATCTTTAGATAGTGTCTGGCTTTCTGCACTAGAACAACAAGCAGCTCTTTAGTACACTTCAGCCTGTCATTATTTCAGTGTGTGAATATTTTCACAGAACCTCTATTGGTGGAAGTATGAGGATTTAGAATCACTTCATAATGGCTAGAGTGCTTTGCAATGAATTTCCCTTTTTGTGTGTGTTCTGCCTGTAGATATTGATGAATGCAGTGCATCACCATGCGATACAAATGCCAACTGTACAAATAGCATTGGCTCATTCACATGTGCTTGCAACACAGGATTCTCTGGTGATGGCTTTACGTGCGCTGGTAAGTAATAATGCACTGTATAAAATTGATCTGTAGTGATGGTATTCAGGAACTTGGCAGTTTGTGCCTTTTTGTCGCACTCGCTGACTGTATAATTATGATCTGGTCACGTTGGTGGACAGTTAGTTAAAACTCGTAACATGTTGTCCTTTCGTTTAATCCCTGATTAGGGAGTAACATTGTCTTCTATATGTAGAGTGAGAATAGGTAGTCATTCATTCACTTGTCATGGCCGCGCTTTGGCGGGTTTTGATGACTTGGCTTAGGTCAGTCTAGTGGCTCCCCAGTTAGACAACCAATAGAGTCGCCATCCAAGTTAGCTAGCTCACACAGAACGACAGGTTTCTAATTGCACTTGAACAGTGTTTATTCAACCATTGCAATGCTAGATCGAAGATCAAGCGTGAAGAGTCAAAAGACCCAAGCAGGAGAGAGTCGGAGTGACTCTCTCAGAATCGAGCGTGAATCGAAGGAGTAGTGAGCTCCCCGAGAATCGAGGATGAATGTTAGCAAAACAGCTCCTTATATATGCTACATTATGTGATCAAAAGTGTACAGCGGCAAGAATGCGTAAGGATTATTTCTATATTTCAAACAGTGGTGCAATATATGCAATCAGCCAAACTAGAATATAGTACAAAGATCAATCAATACGGGGAGCTCGCTCACCCAAATGTGAATATCAGTGATCTCCAAATGCTGGCATGATCTTGGTCCGCGATCCGGTGGCTGGGATGCATTGCAGCAGGCGGAAAGCGTAGCTGTGTCGCTCTTGTGGCTTCACCCAATATGGGCTCTTCCCCCAAACATAGCAGCAGAAGGCAATGCCGTGTTCCCTCCAACGGGCCTGGGGTCTAGAGTACGCGAAGTACTGTCGACCCTTTGCATCTTACAACACGAGAAGAGGCGCCACTCTTGCTCAACTAACAAGGGTATCAGCTCCCTTGCAGGACTAAGCGTGGCCCCCTCAAGCTCAACAGTGTAGTGAGTACAATGCTGACGACTTGTACTGAAGGTGTTGCCGACGTACGACAACACTTTGCGACTCTAGGCCACAAGTTATAAGCCATGATTGCTCAACTAACGAAAGTGCCAAATCCTTCGTCGGACTAATCATGGTTCTTACAGAACTCTAGAATATTTCGGAGCCCAGCTTTTGGCTGCTAAACTCAATGCATGGTCGCTTTCACGACGAGTCTGATCCGGGTCATGACACTCTCAATCAACGTGTTCAGCTATATCTGCTTCAGCAATTTAGGTTTCAGGTCTAATCTCAATGGTATCACTTCTAATAATGTTACTGTGACAGTATGATATTGTCTGGCTTCTTGTAATTTTTAGCTGTCCAATATTTCAGTCTGTATTCTCACAGAACCTCTATTGGTAGAAGTATGAGTATTTAGAATCACTCCACAATGGCTATAGTGCTTTGCAATGAATTTCCCTTTGTGTGTGTGTGTGTGTGTGTGTGTGTGTGTGTGTGTGTGTTTTGTGTGTGTGTGTGTGTGTGTGTGTGTGTGTGTGTGTGTGTGTGTGTGTGTTCTGCCTATAGATATTGACGAATGCAGTGCATCACCATGCGATGCCAATGCTAACTGTACAAATAGCATTGGCTCATTCACATGTGCTTGCAACACAGGATTCTCTGGTGATGGCTTTACGTGCGCTGGTAAGTAATAATTCGCTGTAAAAATTGATCTGTGGTGATGGTATACATGTAGAGACTCATTCCCAGTGCTGGCAAGATGTCCAATTTTTCGGACAGAGTCCGATTTTTAAAGGATTTTCCGAGTACTTCCGAGTACTGGTCAGAGAAAGGATACGTCGGAAAGCAGGATAAATGCCACGGTAACTATAGGCCCAGGTCAGTATACATGTAGTATTATTTCTCACCAGTCCCATCTGGCTTCGAGCAGCCACCCTTCAATTTGTGTGTATTTGGGATTGGTGTAAATGTCACTCTGTTTGTCAGTAAATATGGAGCGAGAATGGGTATTCTTTCATTCATTCATTCATTTAATCAATCTACATTTACTGCTAAAACTGATCCTAAATTTCAGCTCTAACCTCAATGGTATCACTTCCAATAATCCCAGTTTCGCTTCTTGTGCTAAAGCAACGAGCAGCTCTTTAATAAATTTATTTGGTCCGCGGCATCAATATTGTCGCTTATCTTTCAACAATTTGAACTTAGACGTTGGACAACAACGTGTGTACTTGAGGTGATAAAACTTGGTACAATGGAAGGTGAGGTATAGAATGACAACTAGCGGCGAGGAATTTATTGTCCAAGGAAGGGTTCAAACTTGTTTGATCCTCCTCGTCGCTGCTCTCGCGCTAGTCACAAATATATTTTGCTCAGGTGCCCCTCTCTCGCTTTCGCAAGCTCATCTCTCTTCCTATCCACTGCCTGGCTATTTTCTAAAGGGAATTCGATCGTGATGGTCGCCTTTTCTATAGGACTTCGCGTGGGCAGCACGACTACCTGCGTGATTCAAATCAGTCGCCATTCTTTGCAAGATTTTATTTTGAACGACGACGGGAACAGTATATGTAGTTGCAAATATCCACGATGCGCTGGATACTCCAAGCGTTGAGCTGGGGTTGAGGAAACTGCGATCTCAGCTTGGCCAGCAATCCCCAAAGTGAGTGATCTCGGCCGTTTTCCAAGATAGAACTGATGCCGAGTAGCCAATTACGTTCTTGTGCGTCATGCTGCTCTCGCCTGCGCAGTGTGACAAGATAATCTACCGGTATTTTGATGCGGCGTGGTATCAATCAGAATCACCCACCCGTTGCTCTCGAAATCCACTCGAAATCTAGCTAGACCTTTGAGGTACTAGTAAACTAATTTACTAACCAAAATTGGAATGAAATTGGCTGCCAAGTGAGCATTGGTGACATAAAACAAAGCTGAAAGATAAGCGACAATATTGCTGACGCGGACCAAGTAAGCAGGTAAATACTTCAGTCTGAATTATCACAGAACCTCTATTGGTGGAAGTATGAGGATTTAGAATCAATCCACAATGGCTATAGTGCTTTGCAATGAATTTCTCTTTGTATATATGTGTGTGTGTGTGTGTGTGTGTGTGTGTGTGTGTGCGTGTGTGTGTGTGTATGTATGTGTGTGTGTGTGTATGTGTGTGTGTGTGTGTATGTGTGTGTGTTCTGCCTGTAGATATTGATGAATGCAGTGCATCACCATGCGATACAAATGCTAACTGTACAAATAGCATTGGCTCATTCACATGTGCTTGCAACACAGGATTCTCTGGAGATGGTTTTATGTGCAATGGTAAGTGGCCATTATTGCTACAAGCTTTTCGCGTTCATATCACCAAGCAAGCTTGGCTAGTCTTAGCTTAAGCCAAATCGTATGAAGAATGAGGAACAGTGTTTGAAGGCTTTTCTGAATGTTCATCAGAAAAAGGATACGTCCTAGAAACAGGATAAATGCCAGGGGTAAGTACCGGCCCGGAACCAGCTCCTGATAGACGGTACAGCCCCAGGTCATCTATAGGGCAGACCATTAGTAGACATTACCCTAAGCCCAATTTCAGCCTCTTGGGGGGGGGGGGGTGAACTTCTAGCTCTATGCTATTCTACATTGTATCTGGCTGGCTCAGCTACATATTCAGCGTGCAAAAGATACACAGTTAGTAGAGCAGGCCTTACTGGAGGAATAGAACAGTTCAGGGGTGAGGAACTCTAGCGAAGGTGTACAAGATTAGCCTACAATTAGTACAATGAAGTAAAATTGTTTTTCCCTGGCTGCATCTCGCTCCGGCCTACTACCCTTCAATTTGTGTAAATTTTAGCATTTCATTATTTCAGTCCGAATTCTCACGGAACCTCTATTGGTGGAAGTATGAGGATATAAAATCAACTCCATAATGGCAAGAGTACATAAACCAGAGTGTGCAACTCGGGATGGTTCCTGTGGGAGTATAATCCGTGCAGTACGTCATTTCTGACGGCATGGTAAGCCACAGGTACGGTGAAAAGTTGTGTAATCAGTCACGGTGGTGCAGGTCACTGAGTTGGTCCTGATTTCGGTTTTTTGATACGGATAGCCGGGTGAGTTTTCTTGTCAGCGGATGTACACATTGTCATGCAGTCACACAAAAACACCGATATCCTAAAACAGGACGTCATCATCATCATCATCATCATCATGCAAACTTGGCTGATTTCCGGGGCGGTGAAACACGAACATTTGTGCTGTACGCAAATCGCGGCTTGGCTGACATCATCAGGGTGACGTAGTGCACAAACTGCACTGTTTTCAGATCTGATAACTTATGCACAGTTGCACACTCTGCTTGATGTACTCATGATAATGGCTATAGTGCTTTGTGATGAATTTCTCTTTGTGCGTGTGTGTGTGTGTGTGTGTGTGTGTGTGTGTGTGTGTGTGTGTGTGTGTGTTCTGCCTATAGATATCAATGAATGCAGTACATCACCATGCGATGCCAATGCTAACTGTACAAATAGCATTGGCTCATTCACATGTGCTTGCAACACGGGATTCTCTGGGGATGGTTTTACGTGCAATGGTAAGTTTTTATGCGCTGTATAAACTTAATATTGGTGATGATATCCAGGAACTTGGCATTTCTGCGGCTGCCTTAGCAGTCCAATTTTTCGGGCAATGTCACATTTATGAAGGCTTTTCTGAAAACAGTTGTCTGAAAAACAGCTAAAAATGCCGGGGGTCCATACTTAGCCACGCAGAAATCCTGAAATTCAATCAACGACAGTCTACACCAGATATAACGAACACCATACATGTAGCGCCAGGGGAATAAGTTCATAGCCAAATTTTGTTATCACGGAAATGCTCTTGCACTGTGGGTTCAAACTGGGACATGGTCAATTGTTCGCTATATCACGAAATCCGCTATATGCTAGTTTGTTCTAAGTGGAGTCAACTATATACCTATTTTCTCTAGTTGCCACACTTCACCTTGTGAGCATACTGCACACACTAGTGTAGAGAAGTAATACATGCAGGGTCAGTGTTTACATGCTTTCAGGCTGCATACAACTGAGATAACAGGCTGTACATAGTGTGATAGCAGGTCATTACTTCAGTCCTGTGTATCTTCACAGCACGTCTAACGGTTATTGGTGGAAGTATGAGGATTTAGAATAACTCCATATAGGCTATAGTGCTTTGCAATGAATTTCTCTTTGTATGTATGTATGTGTGTGTGTGTGTGTGTGTATATGTGTGTGTGTGTGTGTGTGTGTGTGTGTGTGTGTGTGTGTGTGTGTGTGTGTGTGTGTGTGTGTGTGTATGTGTGTGTTCTACCTGTAGATATTAATGAATGCAGTACATCACCATGCGATGCCAATGCTAACTGTACAAATAACATTGGCTCATTCACATGTGCTTGCAACCAAGGATTCTCTGGTGATGGCTTTACGTGCGCTGGTAAGTAATAATGTGCTGTAAAAAATTGATCTGTGGTGATGGTATACATGAAGAGGCACTTTGGCATTCCCAGTGCTGGCAAGATGTCCAATTTTTCGGACAGAGTTTGATTTTTAAAGGCTTATCCGAATACTGGTCAGAAAAAGCATACGTCCTAAAAACAGGATAAATGCCAGGGATAAGCACAGGCCCGGGTCAGTATAACAGTTACATGTAGTAGTATTTCTCACCCGTCCCATCTGGCTTCGACCAACCACCCTTCGGGTTGTGTGCATTTGCAATTGGTGATGTCACTCTGTATGTCAGTATATATGGAGTGAGAATGGGTATTTTTTCATTCATTCACTCAATTAACATGTACAGCTAAACCTGCTTCAAAATTTTAGCTTTAACCTCAATGGTATCACTTTCAATGATTCATTTTCGGTTCCTGTACTAGAGCAACAAGCAGCTCTTTCATATATTTAAGCAGTTCAATACCTCAGTCTGTATTCTCACAGAATCTCTATTGGTGGAAGTATGAGGATTTAGAATCACTCCATAATGGCTATTGTTCTTTGCAATGAATTTCTCTTTGTGTGTGTGTGTGTTCTACCTGTAGATATTGATGAATGTAGTGCATCACCATGCGATGCCAATGCTAACTGTACAAATAGCATTGGCTCATTCACATGTGCTTGCAACCAAGGATTCTCTGGTGATGGCTTTACGTGCAATGGTAAGTAATCATTATTGTACTCCGGTGGTCCTCTTTTCTTCTTATAAATCATTATTTTTATAAGCTTTTTCGCGTTCCCATCACCAAGCAAGCTTGTCTAGTCTTAGGTTAAGCCAAATCGTATGAAGAATGAGCAACGAGTGAGATACTGTAAGTCTACAAATGTTCTGCCCATTCAACGTTTGGCCCCCTAGGGCCGGCTAAACTCCTTTTGGGTCACAACATATTTTCGACCTGTATCGCTGCCGCCTGTATACACTGTCACACTGAACCTTGCAAAACTAAATTTCGTCCGCAACAAATTTCGGCCAAATACAAGCAGGACGAAAATAGCCGATAATAAAATTAATATGGAAACGAGTGCTTTGCTGCTTCGAATTGTAGTTAGACCGCTTTGGCAAGTATCCTGCTGGTCTCATCATCTTCTAGTAACAATCGACATTCTTTGTTCCGTTGGGACTGTAGCTCGTGCTCATTTTTGTTGCACTTACCTTCCCCTCTTTAGTCTCTCCATAACCTTGAACCTTCCGAGTTGGAAGGCTGTCGGTTAGCGCTACGGAGATGTGTTGAAGCTAGGTGTCAGGACGTCGAATGTCCCAGTACTCTGTCAGTTTGTGCCTAGTTGTTGCACTTTCTGTCTGCATATAGTATCTAGTTACAGTGGTGGAGAGTTACTCTTAACTCGTTTCCATATGTCCTTTTTCTTTTCTACATTTATTATTGGCTCACTACCCGAGTTTCAAAACACCGCATGTTTTGTTGATTTGCAGTAAATCAAAATGCGCTGTATAAAATTGATCTGTTGTGATGGCATAGAGGCACTTGGCATTCCCAGTACTGCCAAGCCGTCTGATTTTCCGGACAGTGCCCAACTTTTGGAGGTTTTTCCAAATACTTGTCACGAAATGGATACGTCCTTAAACCATGATAAATGCCGGTGGTAAGTACCGGCCCGGAGCCAGCTTCTCAGAGATTGTACAGCCCCAGGTCATCTACAAGTTCGACCATTAGCAGGCATTACCCTAAGCCCGATTTCAGCCTCTGGGGGGGGGGGGGATGAGCCGCTAGCTCTATGCTATTCTACATTGTATCTGGCTGGCTCAGCTACAGATTCTGCTTGCAAAAGATATACAGCTTGTAAAGCAATGCGCTGTATAAAATTGACCTGTAGTGATTTCACTTGGCACTTGGCATTCCCACTGCTGCCAAACTGTCCGATTTTTTCGAACAGTGTTCCGTTTTTGAAGTGGCCGTAAGGGGCTGGGGGGGGGGGGGGGATGTCAGGCAATATTACAATTCTAGATTAGAGACTAGTCAATCCCTATTAGAGCTTTACCACTGCGATAAATGGCACCGGCCTTGCTCATCTCTTGAGGCTCTTGTTTCCATGTTGGCTATTTC